ACCCTTTTAGAGGTACACGCGTGATTTAACAGTGGTAGAGCCACACGGCAGCTTTTGCTGTCGCACGGATGGGCCGGCTCGAACCAGGGTGGTACCACGACCTCACAGAAAACCAGCGTGAAGTAGAGGTTTGCCTCTGCGTTTCGCTTGGTGAGTGCAGGTGGCCGGAGGCCCTTTTTACTGAAAATGAGGCACTCCATCTTAGTCCTCACGGGTGACAACGCATCTACATTTTGATTTGTAATAGAAGATAGATGTAGATGTCTATGGGCCGTAGCAACCACTTAGCATCAGGTGGACTGTGTGCTCGTTTGTCACCCTTATCCTATAAAAAAAAATGTTATGTTGAGTGATTTGGGTAAACAATGCAAAGATATGCGATAGCAGCAATCGCGATTTATTTGCTGGCATTTATTGAACAGTTCCGTTGTCTGTCTCCGAAACTCATCATCAGATCTTTATGAAATTTAAATGGGACTATTTAAGAACAAACCTCTTTAGAACAAAAAATATTTTTGCAAATCTGTCTATATATAACGGAGTAACTTTATTTTTCGATACACTATGTCTTAGAATACATACAGCTAAAACAGTCAAACCGTGAGCATTGCAATTTTAACAACAACCTCAATTCTTGGAGTGTTACTAGGTTGTATACATGTTACACGTGTTACCTACATCTATTTGAATCAAAGAGATTTAAAATATATATATTTAAAAATCAAAGACATTTAAGTAGTAAGTATATATTTATATATATAAATATATATATATATATATATATATATATATATATATATATACACTTACTACTTAAATGTCTTTGATTTGAATACTCGTCAATCTTCTGCTTTTGCCAACTCGGTTTTTAAATTGTCATGTGCTTTACTATATAGATTAATATTGTGAGTTCATTTAGTATAAATAGTAGTAAATACCGTATTGATGTACGAGCACAAGCTAGTAATAATAGTTACTAGACTCCAACGAGTCAGTGATTTCTTCATGAGTCAATGCGTATGCTTTTAGGACAAAGTCCCGGAAAATATAGAGGTCTATCAAAAAGTTTATTTTTTTTTATCAATCAGTGTTTGTATATAGAACGGTTATTATAATATTAAGAATACTTGACTAATGACAAGTCATGGTCAGAAATGAGGTGAACGCTACCATGCAGTTTGAAATGTAATATAATTCAATAATTGGAGTACTGGATTTCTAGCTGAACCCCGGACAAAGGTTTCCAGAACTGGTGGCAAAACCATAAAAGACTCTTAATAAGTATTACTTGTAATCTATGTTGAATAATCTGTGGCACGATTACATTATCAGACATTTGAAGGAAAAGCTGAGTGAATCAACAGTCAAATTACTAACGAATGATAAATTGCAGCAAAAACAAATCAGTAGAGATTCGAATCGACTTAGTGACGGTCTCATTATTCACCCCCACAATCCATGACAAACCCGCTGCTCAAAATAGGCCTACCCCAAAGACTGCATATAAGCATCGTAGTTCAGATTCAGAGTAGCATGACGTGCGTTGGCGTGCTCAGTAGAGCAGGATAGTATTTCATACCAGCACACCGCCTACAACTTTACAAGGCGCAGGTTCGGCCTCCCATGGAAAACTGTTTCCATCTCTGGGCAGGGGCTCCCCAGTGCCAGGTCCTTCCATATGATCGCATCCAGCGCAGAGCGGTTCGAATCGTCGGCGATCGGGCTCTTTCTGATCGACTTGATTCACTGGCACTGCGTAGAGATGTTGCATCTCTTTGCGTATTTTATCGCATTTACTACGGGGAGTGCTCTGAGGAATTATTTGGACTAATTCCAGCCACTCAATTTCACCATCGCACACCGCAACAAAACTCGCGATACCATCCATTCCATACTATCTGGATGATTGGCGGTCCACCAATGTGCGAATTACAAGAAGTTTTCTTCCTCGTACAACTTTCTTGTGGAATCGATTACCACCAGCGATTTTCCCGGACAGATACCCTTTAGGGACCTTTAAGAAAAGAGCCTACTTTATTTAAAAGGCCGGCAGCGCATCTGCGGTTCTCCTGGTGTTGTAGTTATTCATGGGCGGTGGTCGACACGTACCATCAGGTGAGCCGCATGCTCGTTTGTCTCCTCTTCTATAAAAAAAGCAAGCGTCGACTTTCACAATGCCCATTTCACAGTGTCATCACTCTGGCTGGTTTTCCCCACCATCTCAGTTGGACGCGTACACATTGTTATTGAACGGACAAGGATCTTACAGCTGATGACAAGAACCAACATTAAAAACGTATATACCTAGTCAGGTCATAAATTCTGTCACATGTTTAATATAAAATAATTGAAACAAGTTTATTCATTATGTAACCATTTATATACCAAAATAAACTTAACAAAACATAGATTCTTATGACACTAAAGTTTATTCAAAGTGACCTCCGTGATTTTGAATACAGGCATTCAATCTGCGCGACCAGTCGTCTATTGCAGCACGAACGAGGTCCATGTCAATATCGGCGGCTGCCTTAATCAAGAATGTCTTGAGTGGCTCCAAATTGGGATGAGGTTTTGAGCACGCCTTTTCCTCCAAGTGTTGCCATATCTTGTAATCTAACGGATTCAAATCTGGACTGGAGGAGGGCCAGTCTTCGTGCCGGATGAAGTCGATTTCACGCGCCGCCAGCCAGTCTTGTGTGCTCTTCGCTCTATGAGCTGGCGCCGAATCTTGTTGGAATACCCAGTGCCTGTTATTGAACATGGTATGAGAAACAGGTTCCACAAGGTTCGTCAGGACTGTATTTTGATACACAACTGCATTCGTTTTTACACCTTTCTCACAAAAATGTACCTCTGTTAAACCCCAATAAGAAACTCCCAACCATACCATGAGCGAGGATGGAAAATGACCTCGTTGGACACGCGGAATACGGTTGCTCGCTTCTTCACTACTGTGTGCGTACACCTTATCATTTTGTTTGTTGTAGCTCTCTTCTACGGTAAAAATTTTTTCATCCGAAAAAAGAATGTCCCGATATTTTTTTCCCGCGTACCGCTTCAACAAAGCGCGGCATCTCTTCAGTCTCAGGTCCATTAGACGAGCATTCAAACGATGTCCTGTTTTTCTTCGATATGCCCGAAACCCTAAGTCTTCATTTAACACCCTTTTCACCGTGGTTCTGCTTAACCCCATCTAAAAGGCCAACAGTTTCTGCTTACGTTTGGGATTTCTTTGAATTCGCGCCTTCACAGCTTTTATCACTGCTGGAGTCCTAACAGACCGAGGGCGACCACTTCTTGACCTGTCACCTACACTAGAGTCTTCATTGTATTGTTTGATGGTACGATAAACGAATCTTTTGGTTATATTCAAATTTTTCAGTATGTAAAAAATTTGAATTGGCACGTAACCGTAACGATGCAATGCAATAACTGCAACACGGTCTTCTTTAAGCGTTTAGGTATATATATATATATATACCTAGTCAGGTCATAAGTATTGTCACACAGTAAAAACTTTTCTTTTAGAATGCTGGCCACAAAAAAGTTTATTGAATTCGAATTTCTAATTGTTCATGAAAATAAAACTGTATACTTTTTAGAATTTTACTCATTTTTAAATATGGAGTGGACGCTTAAAGAAGACCGTGTTGCAGTTATTGCGTTGCATCGTTGTGGTTACGATAACCAAAAGATTCGTTTATCGTACCATCAAACGATACAATGAAGACTCTAGTGTAAATGATAAGTCAAGAAGTGGTCGCCCTCTGTCTGTTAGGACTCCAGCAGTGATAAAAGCTGTGAAGGCGCGAATTCAAAGAAATCCCAAACGTAAGCAGAAACTGTTGGCCCTTTTAAGCAGAACCACGGTGAAAAGGGTGTTAAATGAAGACTTAGGGCTTCGGGCATATCGAAGAAAAACAGGACATCGTTTGAATGCTCGTCTAATGGACCTGAGACTGAAGAGATGCCGCGCTTTGTTGAAGCGGTACGCGAGAAAAAAATATCGGGAAATTCTTTTTTCGGACGAAAAAATTTTTACCGTAGAAGAGAGTTACAACAAACAAAATGATAAGGTTAGAAGCGAGCAACCGTATTCCGCGTGTCCAACGAGGTCATTTTCCATCCTCGCTCATAGTACGGTTGGGAGTTTCTTATTGGGGCTTAACAGAGGTACATTTTTGTCAGAAAGGTGTAAAAACGAATGCAGTTGTGTATCAAAATACAGTCCTGATGAACCTTGTGGAACCTGTTTCTCATACCATGTTCAATAACAGGCACTGGGTATTCCAACAAGATTCGGCGCCAGCTCATAGAGCGAAAAGCACACAAGACTGGCTGGCGGCGCGTGAAATCGACTTCATCCGGCACGAAGACTGGCCCTCCTCCAGTCCAGACTTCAATCCGTTAGATTACAAGATATGGCAACACTTGGAGGAAAAGGCGTGCTCAAAACCTCATCCCAATTTGGAGTCACTCAAGACATTCTTGATTAAGGCAGCCGCCGATATTGACATGGATCTCGTTCGTGCTGCGATAGACGACTGGCCGCGCAGATTGAATGCCTGTATTCAAAATCACGGAGGTCACCTTGAATAAACTTTAGTGTCATAAGAATCTATGTTTTGTTAAGTTCATTTTGGTATATAAATGGTTACACAATGAATAAACTTGTTTCAATTATTTTATATTAAACATGTGACAGAATTTATGACCTGACTAGGTATATATATATTACTATTTATTGTATTGTATTTCACGTATATCGTTTAAGTTAATTATTAGATGCAAAATAGAACACATTTCATATCTACCGCCTCAACATTTATCGAATGAATAGGAAATGCAGTGTAAGTGACAATTATTGAACGCGACCAGCAATTATTTATAATTTACTGCATTGCCGCTTGCAGTGATTATATTTAAGCAGATTACAGTTAGAGTAAGTTTCATATACCGCCCTTTCTTTTCACAGTAATATATGATATGAATTTGATATGAATTTCTTAACGATCAAGGCGTTAGAAATAATGTTTCTCATCATTAATATAAAGGAAGCCCTTTCTGCATCTGAGAAAGAGATGCAAATTATTATTGACGTTGTGAATTCATATGAAAAGCCAACCGATGTAGTAGCTATAGTTTGTTGGCGAAAATGTAAGTAAAAATATAACGTGTAAATAGTATTAATATTAAGCTGGATAGGTTTATTTGTTAGAATTTATCAAAAAACATACAACTAAAATATTTTTCTTAGAAACTTTCAAATAATAATTTTAATTAACACTAAAGCCAACACTTTTCGATTTAAGTTAAGTTAAGTTCGAATATATAAATAATGATATACCGATATTGCGGTTTTTGAAATTACGAATAAATAAGGCTTCCACTTATATTTGAAATTATCCCAAATTGAATTTATTTATGGGCAATAACGTTATGGCCTACCGATCGACCCTTACCAATGTGTGCGTGCACAGTAAAATCACTTAAAATAATGCATTACTACGCATTTTGAATTTAATAGATAAAAAGGACAGAATGTTTGAGATTTTTCTTAAGTAAGCTTTCATCACCATTTGCCAATATTACTTATTCTGAACGTTCTCTGTAAATTTGGCCGATTATTGCAAAATAATCCTGTATATCAAATATCTAAAATATTTTTATAATAAATAAAGTACACAAACATGACCCAGATGTATAATATGTTAAATATCCCTAGCGAATTATGGTTTGTTAATTTTATAATATTTTTACTTGCTAATAATTCTAAATTAAATATTAGATTTCGTAGAAGTAAAAATTACCTACATATTATCTAACATAAAAAAGCGGGTTAGCTGACTGACAGCAAAATTACAGGTGCACTCTCATAGCCCGATGCGACGGCAATCTGATACGAGTATGACCGGAGAAATATCTAATTGGGAATTATTATTGAACACATCGAACGCGAAGCGGAGATGTAGTGCTCTACTGTCACCAAATCAAATAGCGATCCACTCAAACCACTTTTTACTTTGCAGATTTGAAATTTAGTTTCGTTAATAAGTTGCGAAAACTTGAAAAACCAAAAAGAGTATTATTTATTACAAAACATGAAGTTTGCGAAAATAAATTGCCGAGTAAAAACTTGATCTTCATTACTGATACACGCTGCCCAAATATCAAAGACATACTGTTTAATGTAAGTATTTATTAATATAATCCAAAAAACTAAATCTTAACTTGGTATAAAAAAATAAAGAAAAGAATATATTCTATTTTTCAGGCAAATTCATGTAATAAATTCAATAATCCTAACCGCTGGATTATTTTGGGAAATATGCTTATTAAAAATAATGAAATAACGCATGACTTTACAAATTTGAACATAATGATCGATTCCGAAGTGATTTTATTGCAGCTGTATGCTAAAATTTTTAAATTATACATGCGTAAGTAATAAGTTAATAAAGTAATAATATAATAAAATAAGTTTAATTTAACCCTAAGAAGACACAGGTTTGCGCGTTTACAGCTAAAAAGAACCCCTTTGTCGTATATCCTCAATTTCAAGCACTACCCTTGCTGCCTCAGCCAGCATCGGAATCTTCGGGGTCGACATATCGAAAGGCTTGCAATTTCGTGGTCACTTGGTAGGGAAGGCTAAATTGGCCTCTAAAAAGATTGGCGTGCTCAGCAGAGCGGGACAGTATTTCATTCACACCGCTTGCAACTTTACGAGGTGCAGGTCCGGCTTCACATGGAATACTGTTCTTATCTCTGTGCCGGGGCACCCCAGTGCCAAATCCTTCCTCTTGACCGCATTCAGAGTATAGCGGCTCGAATCGAATGGTGAACGACAGATTTCTTTCTGATTGTCTAGATTCAATGCGAAGGTATGTTGTATCCCTTTGCATTTTCTATCGCATTTTCCACGGGGAGTACATAGACAAATTTTCAGATTAATTCCAGCCGCCAAATTTCACCAACGCACATCGCGACATAACTCACGATACTATCCACACCATCTGGAAGATCGGCGGTCCACCTCTTTGCATTTTACTAGGAGTTTTTTCAACGCGCCAACATTGTGCTTAAAATATTTTATTTCTCAAACATGCGTATTCCCTTACGACGTTTTCCCGCCATTATTTCATTATTGGCAGCGGGGATCGAATCAAGGTTGCTCGCACAGATATCGCATATAATCAGTGATTGCCCGTGGCCTACCACAGCTCTCTAATTTTATTACATAATATTATAGTAGTAAATAAGTAACAATACATTTAAATAAGCGTTTTTGAAAATATTTTTTTACTTGCCAGTGTCTCATCGATAAATCGTTTTATGAAAAACTTTTTCTTGAAATGTCGTATATATGGTAGCATTATTTTCTTCAATATAAAATGTGTGTATATATATATATATATATATATATATATATATATATATATATATATGTATCTGTATATATAAATTTTCAACAAAGCTTTTGACTGCTGAACGAATAACCTAATTACCTCCTTATAGCGTACAAAATTGGACCAAAGAACAATGGATGGATTATAGAAAGCTTTGCCACCTGGGATCCAATACATGGTCTTAATAAGTCCAAAGAAATTGACATCGCTACTTCAGTCAGACGTAAAGATCTGTCAAGAGAACCAATAACTATGTCAGTTGTAGTTACAGAAAACATGACCAAATCTGAGTTACCAGAGATACGGTAATGTTTTTGCAAAATTATTGTTTAAGAACAAAAAATATAAATTTTTGTGTATAAATCAAATCATTAGTTTTTATCTGTAGACGTGTTGTGAATTTTATTTTTCCCGAGTCAATACCATTATAGTAGCTTGACAATCGCGCTGCCTGGTGGTCAGAATAGATCCAGTCTACCTGACTACTACGTCGCACGCCTTGCGTTTGTATCCCAAAATCAGGGATTGGCTCCTGATTTTGAAACTCAAAAACAAGAGCAAAACCAGAAGTTGACAGTTTTCAGGTCTAGTTACTCTATGATATTGTCCGTGTCTAACTCTGTATCTTATCTAACCTATCGCCTAACTGTCAATTTAAAAGCAGATGGGTTGGGTGGAGAAAATGCGTCTATATGGACTTCATTAATTCATCACAGCATGTGAAAAGTCCACTGCTAAATGTAAATTGTATGTATATGTAGGGGGTAGTTCGCCATGGTTGCTACGCTTGGCTGGAGAGGTGGCAGCTACTACCGCCCGTCTCCTATTTCATTTCTCTTTGTCGCCTCTTACGAGACCCACTCGGTCATATGGGGTAGTGAATTTTACATTTGCAAATAAAAATTTATTTTAATTTAATTTTTTTTTTAAAGAGACTCTTCAATTTTATTTATTTGTATGTATAGATAAATAGATTATCTACAATATTAAAAACTATGATAATAAAAAAAAAACTAAACTTTAATTTAATTAAATTTGTTATAGTCGAGTTTCCTGAAGTAAAGTTATATCTATACGTTTGCATACTGATTTTGATAACGCACTTACTTAACTGGAACCACAGGGTTTTTGTTACATGTCGTATAGACACACCTGATTTTATATTAATCCTCAGCAAACTTTTTATGGTTTTATCTCACAACAACATACTAACTGGTGGACTGTGTGCAGGCTTGTCATCCTTTTATTTAAAAAAAAAACTATGATTTAACAAAATGAAATTTTACAATACTCACTTTGTGCCTTATAATTATTCTATGTAACCAATAATATTCATACTTTAATTGAATATTCAAATAACTATACTTCACCATCCTTTACACGCAGGAATATCCACAGAGATACTTTAGCAAAGTCCAGTTTTCTTCACTATATGCCAATATACGATTTCACAAACGCAACAATGGCTATTATTTATGCGGAAACATGGGGTTACTTGTTAAATGGTACGTGGAACGGTATGGTCGGGGACGTAGCTCAAGGCAAAGCTGAGTTTGCAGGTGTGTTATTAATACAAATATTTGAGGTCTAGTTTTATAGATAGTTTATTACATAAATTAAAATGAGAACAGTCATAAAAAACCGACCAAGTGCGAGTCAGACTCGCGCATGAAGGGTTGCGTAACTTGCGTACCATCGTACAAGATTTAATACTATGTAGGTACTTTTTTAAATATTATTTTATTTTATTTAAATTTTTTAGCGAATATAGCAATACAAACTCTGTGAGCATTTCAAGCGTCTACTTGTTGCTACTACATATTAAGATCGAGCAGAAAAAGCCAAAACAAAAAACACGTTTCTAGTAAGGGAGCCGCCTTTAATTTATAATTTATTTTTATTTTTATTATTTGTTGATATAGCGGCAACAGAAATACACATTCTGTGAAAGTTTCACGAGATACAGCCCGCTGACAGATAGACGGACGGATGGACGGCCGAACAGCGAGGCTTAGTAATAGGGTCCCGTCGGTTACCCTTCCGGTACGAAACCCTAAAAAGTGAAGTGACGTGAGTAGATGTAGATGTCTATGGGCCAAGCAAACACTTACCATCAGGTGGACTGTGTGCTCGTTTGTCACCCTTATTCTATAAAAAAAATTATTAGTGTCGACGGGAATCAAATTCTGTGAAAAAAAAATGTTACCTCACGTTAATAAGTCTAGGAGTAACTCGGTTGCGAAAAGATTACTAAGTTAAGAGTACTCTTGTGATGGGATATGAAATAAGCGAAAGAGGAGTGTCAGGATCGTGCCAAATGGGAGTCCACAGTTTCTGCGGGGTAGACTTTGGGTGACAGACGTGAGTGAGATGTTATGGTTATGTTTATTATTTATATTTTTCACAATATAATATCCCACTTTATACATCATATAATATGCTGAATGGGAATGGAAACATGTAAATTAACGAGCTTACCAGGTAACTTACTTAGGGTTTTTAGCACAAGGACAACATATGTGAATATATTTGGGGCTGAAATTAATATATTAATAAACGGGTTATAAAAACAGTCTATCTATGTTGTGGTGTTTTGAATGTTGCCCTATAGAATGTGCACCTATATTATGTTTCTTTTGTCAAAGTTGTATAATAACAACCCAAGCGATAAACGTGAAACGAAAACGAACGTTATCAATTGGTAGCACCACATAAAGAGAAAGAATGTGTAAATATTGCACAGACATCATGATATAATGTTTATGAAAAATTATATGGAAAATACTACAAATAAAATTAAACGTATCACATAGAGACTTCAGTATAGGCAAGCATGGATTAAACTACTCTCAAAATAATAATGGATATTTACATATAAAAAATGGTGTGGCAGTTGTTCATGGACGACGGTAGTCAATTACCATCAGGTGAGCCGTCATGCTCGTTTGCCCCCACTCCTATAAAAAACATCTTTCAACACTAAGAAAATCTAACAGAGGTGTCGTAAGAATCCACCATGGGAATTCCAGGAAGATCTTATGGCTTTCTATTAGTGGTACTGTCACCGACGACGGAGAGCAGCACCCATTGTGCAAGACGCCTGGTCTGCGAGCGCCTATCTGCCTGCCAAGCGTGATGATTATGCCAAATACTCCCTACGGTGGTAGTGAGTGCCTCATGAACAAAAGGGAATGTTAATGAACTGATAAAGAAAAATACGATACCAAAGAATACACTCTATTTATTTCATAACAATGTTCTTCATTGAAAGATCTAGTTACCGAACTGGTGTAGATTTTGACATTTATAAGAACTTTAGCGAAGCCTAAATTGGATAAAGTTTTTGAATTTAAATTTGAATGTATTTATAAAGTGTATATTCCAGGCACTGTAATGTTCATTACAAAAGAACGGTTGCCGGTATTAGAATACATGAACTCCCCGTCCTCGACTTCAGTGAAGTTCGTGTTCCGTGAACCGTCACTATCATACGAAAACAATTTGTTCCTGTTGCCATTCAAGCCAGTTGTATGGTATTGCATCGTTGGACTAGTGTTTCTTTTAATGTTCATTCTCTTCATTAATGCGCGATGGGAGAATGTTAAATCTTGCAACAAAAATAAGGTACAATCTCATTTATTATTCCTTAACTTGTCAACCTAACTAATAACTTCTAAAATATTTACAATATTGATGTTTTGTTACAAACTATTTGTTGACAGCTCCAACAAAATAGTAAATGATCCAAACTGCTAATAGGATAAATTGAATTTACCCAGGAAAGGGGCATGCAAAACCGAAGTGCCCAAGGTAATTAAACACCGGATATTTTTACATGATACATAAATAAAAAGCTGTTCTACTACTACTTATTTCATCTAATCTTTCCTTACACCGAATAAATCGATAATGAAAAAGTGCATCATTTATCATGCCGACGGTTAACAATGCTAATTTAAGGGCTAGCAGATTATTTGTGTTCTTTGTACAAAAACATAACATTATTTACTCTTATGGAAAAAGTAATAATCTACCTTGTGACAAATATTTGCTCGGTTTTGCCTATTAAAGTAGCGGGATTCCTTATCCACCTGTCAACCGTAGTGAATCCTGATTAAATTGTTCGATTACGAAAAGGCTTTTAGAAGATTGGGCTGTTGATGTCTAACGGGCGTACGTTTTTCCTGGTCGTATAATAAATTTAATCTTTAACTTCAATCTTTTCAATTAAGCTGCATATGCAACTTGGAGTGTAACGGGAATGAAACATTTTTTTTTAAATGTTAACCTCACCTGCACGTTTAAATGCAAATGCTAAACAACGAAGTTCTGATTCAGAACTTTTCAAAACGCTAAGCCTGAAGGTGAGTGATGAACGCATTTTTTACAAAAGGAGGGCGTATGAGCATGTTATGGCAAGTGACCACAACTGCGACACCAAAATAATAGCAGTAGCATTGAGGAATGAGTAGATTTCTTTCTTGGAGGTTCAAAACACAAAAAAGTCATACGAGGAACAAAACTTCAGGACAATCGGCGGTGAACCACCAAGCATTCATATGGTGCGATAGTATTGAGAATTTTGTTAAAACGTGCGATGGTGAAGCTTGGTTACTGAAAATAATCTGGAAAATTCCTCGGAGCACTCCCCATACTAAATGCTATTAAAATTAAATGAGATGGGAACTCGAGTTGAATGCGGTCAAGTAGAAAGAGTTGGTACTTAGGTGACCCAACCCAGAATAGATTGGAATAGAATAGAAAGATAAAATAAGGTAGAACAGGGAAGGAGAGCATGAGATAAGATAGGATAGGAAAGAATAGAATAGAATAAAAAATACTTATTTATGCTTTAATCTGAAGTCTTTGCTGATGTGAAATAACTCGGCGATAAAACGAAATATTAGGAAAAATGTGTGAATATTTTTTTGAAAGCTTGACGTGCAATCCGCTAACATGTATTTAGGGGCAGCGTGAAAGACTCCTAACATCTTCAAATAAGAAAAAGACTGTGTCCAAAAGTGAAAAATTTAAAACCTACACAAAAAAAAACATCTGAATAAAGTGTTCTCATTCTGTGCACACTTTGTTTTGGGTGCCAGCCGCCAAAAAACCACCGATAAGGTATAAATCAACAAAAGGCTCCCGAATATAAGAGATGGGTATCTTTGTATGAAATAAAGCTTAATGGTGCAGTTGTGTAAATATGTTGAGAATATTTTTCATTATGATATATTTTGTACCAAAAATTAGATTAAAAATCATATATTTCTGAGAGAGTTGTTAGGACAAGGCAGTGTCCGACGCGCGTTTTAGCATAATACACATCACTTGGAATTTTTTTTTGTTTGATTTGTGTCTGAAACATGCAACAAACAGTTGTCCTTACGATTCACGATTTCCGTCGAGCACTCTGACCTTTATACCATATTCTATACTATACAAGTACATACGTTGGACTACAAAATGTTTGTGCTTTGGTAGTTTGTGCTAATTAGTGAATTGGAGCGCCATCATTGTTCGTAACCGGGAACTAAAATTGAGTAAATATACCAAAGTCTATGTATTCTGTTGTTTAAATCTTATCTCTGTATTTTAAACTTTTAAACGAAAAAATTAACGTATTTTGTGTAGTTTGAATATGTTTGATTTTAGTAATATAACAAAAATTATATATTTCTGATTTTTAGTTTTAGATTTTTGGTAATATGTAAAATGAGAGTTTGCGTAATATGTAAAACTCGTTACCAAAAGGAAAGTGGGATAACATTCAACAAGTAGTGAATTTAAGGCTAATATTTAAAAAAAATTAAACTATTTGATAATATAGGCACTTAATTCAATACACTTGGCTTTATATGTTATGGGTTGTCGAGTTCCTTGTCTATAATACTTATCGATGTTTCTACCCATATCCATTAACAACCAAAGTCACCGAGAAAGATAATTATCAAATCTTACTGTTTTCATTGATTCACAAACTCTAGAGTAACAATACCCAGTATTGGCTACTCCACATTTGTGTTGGAAAAACACCAACAAAGTTATCTGAGAGTAAGAACAAAGAGTAAAATTATTCGAAGGTAAGTTACTCTGGTGTAACATGTTACTTGGTCAAATATTTTTATTACACAGTTAAATAACCGTATAATAATAATATGGTATTCTTTAATGTTATATTGTACCGTCACGATTCGTTGAACGACGTCGTCTGAAGAGCTCGTGTCTCTATAATTGTTCCCTTGGATTTAGAGCTTTGTAGAATATTTAGAGACGATGGCAGGAGACCCGAGGATATGACTTTGGATGCTTGGGAGAGAGATAAAGCTTTAGTGTGGTATACTACTTGCGAATACACTTTGGCAGCCTCTCATCTCAGGGGTACTTCGTAAAGGGGTAAAGCAGGGGCTGCATCATAGGCAACTGAACTAAGTAAGTAGCCCAAATATGAGTCTCTGAGATGAGTACATATTTGTGCCATTTGCTGTAGAGACTATAGGCCCGTGGGGTTCACGTGCGGTGAAGTTCCTAAAAGAACTATCCGCGACTCATCCGTCGCTGCTGGTGATAAGAGGGCTGCTTATTTTCTCGCGCAAAGGCTAATCATAGCCATTCAGAGAGTAAACGCAGCCAGCGTTCTTGGCACTATACCGCGGGGGGTAGGCCTGTATGATAACTTCAGTTTTAGTTTTTTTTTTTATTAGGTATTGTTTATCAATATTGTAATTTGAATTTCGAAAATAAAGTTGTAAATAACTGATAACAAAAAAACGCGTTTCTAGGGGCTCCTCCCCCTTTCTTTTTATTTTTCATTCTGTGAAAATTTCAACTGTCTACCTATTACGGGTCATGGAATACACCCGTAGACAGACAGTCTTATCTCTATCATTAATTCCGTGGACGCTCACTTCTTCTGTCAGCGCTAAAATGGCGAAAATCATATCGCCTCTTTATGTCACGGTGTGTAGCCAGTCCATATATAGAGGTCAGTGGTCGAGCACATTGCACATGTTAAATCGCGTGGTATGGTAAATAGGCTGCTCGTATACTGTGAAAGTAACGCCCTTGAGCTACATAGCCATAGCACTGTACAATAAAAATATTAATATAAAAAATAATATAATGTAATATAAATGTAAAAATAAGATTATTAAGGCGAGGATTTCCGGCGTTAAAAGGCTTTATACGTCCTCATCTCCACTGCGGCAAAAAGTTACTTTTATAAAACGTTTTTGCTTATAATTAAGAATCTAATTCATTATCATGCCTTTTACATTATCGAAAAATATCATATGGTTATCACTTAAAACTCGAACGTTAAGGTTTTTTCCCGGCGATTGAATTATAATTTTAAAAATCCATTCGATAGATAATTTAATTGAGTATTACAGATATGCGCATATTTTTGCCTAGTTTATACTATTTTAAGAAGTATGAATAGTCAAGCGTTAAAATCATGTCTAAAGGGCCCCCGAGACGGTCAAACAGTTTGATTCAAACCTCACGTGTTTGACCAAACCGTTTGATGTCGCTTTGAATTTGCATCAAAAAAAGTTCAAACAAGAAAGTCCTATTGCGGTTTCAAAAAATGCCATCGACTATGGATAAAGATTTTCTCGCGTTTACTGTATTAATGTCTTGCTTAAATAATAAGTAAAAAAGAAAAATAATTTGATGCAAAGAATGGTACAAATTAAGATATCGTTTCACACACGAACATCTACAAAGAGTACTAGATACTAGCGTACTTATAAGAACTTTCTGAGGATGGACAATAATTCTTATAAAAATTGATTGAATAAAGTTCGACCATTAATTCAAAAACAGGATACTGGAACATGAAGCTATTCCAGTAAATCAAAAATTGTCTACATTGAGGTATTTAGCATTTTGGAAACCACACAGAACGTATCGCTTGGAAATTCAGCACAAGACTGATGAGGTTTGATCAAACACATCGCGAAGACGAACAAACGGTGCTTCAAACAAAATCAAAATATAAATTTCCATCAAACGAGCTTCAAACACGTAACGTTTGATCAAACCTGTCAAACCAACCGCGTAAACGATCAAATTGGTTTGACTCAAACCAAAATCTACGTGTTTGAATCAAACCGTTTGACCGTCTCGGGGGCCCTTAAAATACTATATTTTTGTCAGACAAGTCCTTATTAAAGAAACCAATCGTTAAACGTCAAAGCGATGCCTACTACGATCACTGCCGGTAACACAATTACAAAAACAGTTACACAATCAGCACTACTGATTTGTTAATATTATTTTTTTTTACTCTGTAACTATAGAGGTAAGCTGTGTCCCTTCTTTTGCTTTTACTGAGATAATTGGGAACTAATATAGGATAATGGCTGCATAGAAATGGAAATTCCATTGGAATCAGTACAGTTATTCATTCAACAACAATATTCCCTGAAGTGGTTAAATAATTAATTTTGACCTTTTTGTTCACAAAAATCAATTATAATCCTACTAATTAATACATTATAATAATACCTAACTGGATTTTCAAAACCCCAAGTTTCTCGATAATCAGACTATCAATAGGTGAATATCTCATTAAAATCCGCGAATCAAACGCATTTACTTATGAACCTCTAATTTACCTCGTTGAAATTTCAATATGTGTACAGTCCTGCAAACCAAATTCTTTATAATATGTACAATAAAGGAAAAATATAAATGAAAAACGAATTCCAGATAGACCATACCATACTACAACCAAATGTAAGCGACATTGCTATTATGGTTATAAGTGCTATATCACAGCAAGGAAGTTCAACGGAACTAAAAGGTCAGTACATATTAAAATGCACTGCGCGATTCAGTACTGTTCTACCACGGCTCACTTTGTATTTGGATGCTACAGGCTCTCTCGGACGCGTCGTGATGTTCATACTATTTTTTACCTTCGTGTTCCTGTACACGTCGTATTCTGCAAGTATTGTGGCTTTGCTGCAATCGACTTCTAACCAAATCCGCACTCTATCGGACCTCCTCAACTCAAAGCTAGAACTTGGTGCAGAGGATATAGTTTACAACAGATATTTGTTTTCGGTAAGCTTACATATTTTACCAACTGTACACAATCCATACTAACCATCTAACAATGCTCATTCAGTCATAAACATAACATGTATCTTAAGCACGTCGCATTAAAAAAATATTTGAGTAACGACACGAGTAGTGAACGAGTAATACTAGTATAATATTGATTGCCAAAATAAAAAACAAGCATTTTTTTTGTATTTTTTTTTAATGAAATTTTCAATACGAACTGAGCTACATACGGGCATTGCGCAATTTACCTTTTTTTATGAAATAGGAGGTAAACGATCGTACGGATAATGTGATGGTAAGTGATCACCGACGCCCATGAACATTTGCAACACCAGGAGAGTTGTAGGTGCGTTGCCCGCCTTTTAAAACGGAATAGGCTCTTTTTGTTTGAATATTTTCAGCTTAACAATCCTCTTAAATAACACCGTCCTTTGCAAGATATAAATCTTACACAGCAACATTATGCTGCTATTTTTTGTTGTATGGCATCAACCTACATCTGTTATCGATAAAGAATCAAAAGGCGGATGCGTTTCCGACTAGATGACTAAGACGGAATGCTTCGTTGAATCTGTGACGTAGGCCTTTACTGTTGGCCGTATGAGGCCGTATGAGCTCAAGGTCGCTTGGCGAGCAATAGATGTTACGCTTGGATTTCCTCTGCGTGATAGGCTTCGTAATGATGATATCCGCAATAGAACCAAAGTAAGCAACATAGTCTAAGGGATCAGTAAGAGTAAATAGGCCAGCCATATAGTTTGAAGAACCGGCAACTGTTCTGGAAGAAAGGATCTCGAGTGGCAACCTCGTTATTGTAAGAAAATTATAGGGTGGTCCCCCACTAATGGACTAAATGGAATGGTAAGAGATGCAGCATATCGATGGATGCAGGTGACTCAGGACTGAGGTTTCTGGCATTTCTTAGGAGAGCCGTGCTTTCTTGTGGGGAGTTCAGCAGTGGACTTGTGATGGGCTGTAATGATGATACTCATGATGATTTACTTAGATTAGGTTAAATCTCTGATTCATTAAATCTGATAAATTAATTATAAAGATCAAAAAAGTTAAAAAAATATTTTCATATTTACGCTGGCAGACTGCTACAGAACCAGTCAAAAAAGCGATTTATCAAAATAAGATCGCTCCGCGTGGTTCAAAGGCAAATTTCATGAAACTAGAGGACGGAGTAAGGAAACTTCAAAAGGTATGAACATAGTCAAATCTACATGATATAATATTTAAATTTGTTGAAATTGTAATTACATTAATTACTCACTAAGTTATTGAGCTACGATATATTTCCAGGAACCATTTGCTTTCAATATGAACACTGGGCTGGGATACCGGTTAGTGGAACAATATTTTTATGAACATGAAAAGTGTGGTCTTCGTGAAATTTCGTATTTCGTAAACAACAAACCATGGCAAACTTGCCGAAAAGACTCTCCTTATAAAGAAATATTCAAAATAGGGTAAGAATTCTTAAATTATTTTATATTTGTATGAAGGCCGTAATAGCTCAAAGGATAAGCATTCGCCTTCAATTTTATAAGCGTAGGAGCTGTTCCCCGCGACGCCTAAGTTACTCCTTACAACATCAGCTACCAGTGAAAGTCCCGTCAAAATCGATCCTGCCATTTTGAAAATTAGCAGGAACAGACAGACAGACGGACAAACAAACATATTATAAATTATTTATTTTTGTTATAAGTACCATATATATACTTTCATATGCATTAAGTAAAAAGCTCTTATTTTGACATTACTAACAGACACTTCATTTTTATTCATTTGTATAGATTACTCGAACAACCTGAATTCGATCCCTGTCACCACTATTAAAATTGAACGCAATTATCAAGTTCTGGTTAGCTAAGAGCTAATCGGTGAAGAAGAACATGGCAAAGAACCATTGAGATGGAATACCTCATAGGCTGCAATTATACTGGCTCTGTATACTCTTCAAACGGGAACGTAGCAGTGCAAATACTACCATTTGGCAGCGGAAATAGGTAAGAACATTGAGTTATATGTACTACGTACTAGAGAAGCCATTCCAAACAAAAATTGTGTCCTACTCTATGTCTTCGCGCATGCGCAGTAGTAGTAGTCGCGCATGAGCGAAAACTTTAAATTGATATAAAATAAGATATTAATATAAAATAAATATAAGAATTTAATATAAAATATCTTAATTTAATCTAAACAAACATATTTCTAAATAAAATGTAATAATAATTATTTTATGGAATTCACAAATCTTCAATTTACGCAATATTTAGTTTGTATGGATTGCACTACAGTTCAGTTGAACATAGTCAAGGTTCGGAATGGCTTCTCTAGTACGTAGTACATATAACTCAATGGGTAAGATTGTGTTAAGTGAAGTGAAGGAAAACCTGCATATCTAAGAAGTTTCCCAGTTGAGGTCGTCCCGCATTGGAATCAGCGCAGCAAACACTTTTTTGGGCAAAAACTTTCTGCGGCCATTGCCCAGTAGTAACTTGTATGTAAGCTGCTACTTTTTTACTTTTCATGGGGCAATATATGCAGTTTTTATTTCATTCACATTTTCGGGTGTTACTTTTTTGTTTTCACTCTGTAATAAATTCCACAAAAAAAAGAATCCACTGAAATGAATATACTCTAGGCCTCCCGCATAAATTCTACTATATTTTTACCGAATATAGAAAGTCAGACTGGGTAATCATGTCTAGATTATTTACGTCAGGCGTAAAAAATACGTTTTGTTTTCAGATCGTTCAGAAGTCAAGAGCATGGTTTTAATGTACGTATAAATAAAATCGTGTACTCAAAAAAGCCAATATGCATTGCTAAGGGCGGAAAGTTCGGTTCTGTCAACATGACAGATTTCTACCCGGCGCTGTTAACGTTACTCTACGGGATAATATCAGCCTTAGTTATTTTGCTGTTTGAAATATTAGTACATAGAAAGCAATTCAAGGGGAAGTCTTAAGTCTCACTCACATATAGCAACACAGGAGTCCGGTACGTCGGCGGCCCCTGTTTGTTTTATGCTCACTAAAGATAAATGTTATATAGATAATACACTTTATAAAGTAGTTTATAGAGTTAGAGGTTATTTTGCTGAAATCCATTATATTAAATATCTTAAAATTAATTAGCTAAAATCCACGTTAAAAATGCTGTGTCTTAACCTGTTTGAAGAGAGCCTCAAACTGAGTAAAATACATGTTTTTTATACGCGACTCATAGCTAATTATTTCAAAACGAGGTATAACAAGCCTATGATGTATCGCTGATAAATCTTTTAACACTGTATGAGTAGAGTCACAGAAAAAATAATAGTACGTAGAGTGGAAATATAGCTTCTAGTAAACCATAATTAACCATAGAAAGCAACAATAAAAATAAGTTTTGTATTGTTCTAATTTAAAATGAATGATTATTAAATAAATATGATATTGAGAAAGTAAGTAAATACTCCCTTTGGTATATAGGATATATAATAGGAATATTATAATAATAGTTATAATATTCCTATTAGCATTTATAATATTATATTTATTGCATGTGTATAAACATGCAATAAATATAATATTATAAATATTTGTAGTTTTTATTCTTCCTTTAACTTTTCGCATAAAATTCAAAAATAAAACAGACTAAAAATACTGTGACCAGTAACAGTAACCTTCATTTTGGATATGTTTTGACTATCTCTGGTCTATTTCTGATAAACTCCTAAATCAGTACTAGTCGGCGGACAGTCTCCGCTAGGAGTAAAGTATTCTGTGGCGGACAGTGACTCGCTAGCCACATGTGGCTCTTTGACCCCTGTACCACTCTCTCTCTCTCTCTCTCTCTCTCTCTCTCTCTCTCTCTCTCTCTCTCTCTATCTCAAATGATCACGTGTGTGTGTGTCACAAAAATTAGCCCCTTTAAATTTTTAATAGCAATAAAACTCATAAACTTGAAAATCATTTTATTAACATACTACTACGCGTACTAGGCTATTGATATGAAATAGGGAACCAGTTGATGTAATCTGAAGCTAATAAAAAAACCCGGTCTCTATACGTCAATTACTTATCTCGAGAGTTATCGTGACCACATACAAAATCAACATCCTGACGTACACGTAAATTTTTTTCAATCAGTTTTTTTTTAAGTAGCAATATAAAATGATTTTGTAGAAAATATGAAATGGATTAATTAGAGTGTTTTCTTGTTACGGCTACTCATATTATCGTATCAGCATTATTCTGTAGTATAAGTGCAATATGGTTATAATAGAGGCATTTTAAGAACACTAAATCGCTTGACCTTGGCGTGTCGACAGTAAAGCACTACCTAATAACGCTTTGCGTTATGAGGCGTGCAAAAGTGTGTATTTGATTTGAATTGTTTGGCTAGTTTAGTTTCTAGAAGTGTTAATTGTAAGTAATAGCTTATAACCAATATATAATTATTTAATTCAATGCAAGCGTTTTTGTTCCCTTTGGGAAAAATTTCTTTAATCTTCCCCCAATAAATTTTGATACAGGGCCTGTCTAAGGCACGCTACGTCACACACGATTGGGACAGGATGCGGTCTTTTTTTGCATCATTGGAGGCAGGTTTGCTTCTCGCCAGATGATCCCAACGTTATTGCTGATTCTGTCCCTGATGTGGTACTTCACTGTTACCCATGGGAAGCAGATCCCAGTCAAGGTTTGGTGGGTCCTATAAGATTGCATCACGCTATAAGCAGAAGTACTACCGGGCATGGACTGACGCATCGACGTCCCGGGGTGTAAACACCAGCGCTCTTAAAAAGAAGTATAATTCCGCCTTCAGATCCTTCAAAGAGTCATTTCAAAGGCAAAGTCAGAGCACATCGGCATAACTGGCGAGAGACTAGCTCGCCTTCCTTCGGGAACCCGTGCTTTCTGATCTCTCGCCAAGGCTGTCCAAGAGAACTTTTGTTAAAGGCTCACTTTTTGCCACCTACTTGACTTTCGATGACGGGGTTAACACACCACCGACCACCCCGCTATGTGAATACTCCATGCCAGATGTCTACTTCAATCTAATACTAAGGTAATTTTATCGAAAAAAATTGATTGTCTCTCAAAGTGGTCCATAAAATGGTTTGGATGTAATAATCTTTTTCAATATATTTGATAAATTTGTATTTTTTAAGAGTTAAAAGCTATATTAACAGCACACAGAGCGAGATAATAGGAAACAATTTATACTGTATTAGCTGTATCACGCGGTATATCACCCGCATATATCATTTGTTCAGACATTTGTAATGGTTGCATAGAAGTCTCGGGGCAGTGGTAAACTCTGAGATTGATTGATCAAAGGATGCTTCTGACGAAGGCCTTCAAGAGTTTTCACATTGTTAGGAGCCAGGATGTCGTCTGAGAATAAAATACAGGTTGCATTTTTTTAGTCGTCATCCATTACTTTCGGTCGAGATAAATAAGTATTAATTGGGTAATCTAAAGTTTGAAAAGATGTCTCTTTTAGTATAGACGTAATTGATTTATTTATTGTTTTATAAAAATAAAAATGGGAATACGAGAAAGTAATTTTTGTTCAGTTTTGTTTTTGTTGCTAAAGCATTGTCATGAAAGTAGTTCATGACAATGCTTTCCACCATCCACATCACAATCAAGCTTGAACACACCTGCATTTTTTACACTTGACGGATAGTAAAAACTGACTAATCTTCTTCGGCGGCTTATAGTTGTTCTTACGGAAACCCACTTCAATATGTAGCCAATCTTATCTGTGTCTCCTCTGACATATGTTAGGTACTACAGCAAGCGCACATTCGACTGTGGCCGTGTTAATCAGTCACTCTGGACGTTGAAGCTGGACCCAGTGATGTTATCGTGCAATACTTGGTAGACGTGCTGGAAATCAGTAGCCACATCAAACATCTCAGTCCCCGTGATCTTGGGTGCTGTAAAGCGACCAAAACGTCGAGAATTAAACAATACATAACGAACTACGTAAAATTATTTTTATTTTATTAGTTTTAAACTGTTTTAAGAATGATGATGCCAGATAACTAACTTTTAAAATACCTTAGGACCGTTTAACTCTTTATAACATGATTATCTAAATATAAATTAGTAATCTATAGCAAACATATCTGATATATCAATGATAACAAACACAACAAAAGAAGGAACAAAGATAAGATACAAACTAATTAATTATTTATGAGTCAGACTTCTACTTAATCGATTCAGGAAAAAACGTTTACTTGAGTGAAATAGCTGCTGTTAATACGAAGAAAATGTTTTACAAAATATTTTTATTGTTAATTTTAAGTGTAATTAATACAACTTCAGGTATGTAACATTATTATTCCAATCAGGTTATAATTTACAACTAGTAGATAAGATGGAATGCTGAAACATTTGTGAGAATCTACCTAATACCTATCAAAAAGATAAAATGTTTCACGAAACTATTAAAACGATGTAACCAAAACTCGGTTACTATATTCAGTATTATATTGAAATATATAGTTTATCGATCAAATTAGCGATTGAAGATAAACCAAACTAGTACCCTTAATCAACGAGCTTATATTATACGCGTTGATATAAGGATGCGAAAAAGCGAAAGAGGAAGACATAAAAGCGTATCAGGATCGTGCCAAATGGAAGTCCATAATCTCTGCCTACCCTCGTATAAAGAAACAGATGGGTAAAATAATTCCCTTCCAAAAAAATGTATAGTTTAAATGGCCTGTGTATTTTTAAGCTACTTATTATTATAAATAAAATTTTTAAATATAATTAAATATTCTCCTCAATCGTCCTTCCCTATGTTTAACTAAACTGCTAAGTTGGGTTTAGGTTCAGGTACTCGTATAAGTCACACCCATAGCAAATATCTTGCAAAAAAAATTATTGTTATCTATTATTAGGTCTAAGTCTACAAATATTGGGTAAAAGTGTGTGAAAACTGAAAAAAAACTGTGTGAAAACATTTAATAATATTTATTACTTCTTATTAGCTTGTGACTAAAATGTTCTGTTTACTAAAGGCACATAAAATATACTGCATATTATTACCGATTCAATTTTGTTGTCAAGTAATAAAATAACATCTATTAGCAGGGTTTGGAGCATGTATATCGCTCTACTATAGTGGATATTGGCATGTCTTCGATATCAAATTTTTAGCCTTTATATGTTCTACTGCTAGGCACGGGCCTCCTCTCATTTTGTGATTGAAAGGAAATGCCCGCGACGCTGCTCCAATGATGTTTTTTAATATAATATAAGGGTGACAAACGAGCACACAGTTTACCTGATAGTTAGTGGTTGCTGTGGCCCATAGACATCTACATCTATCCTCGTTAAGAATCAAAATGCAGATGCGTTGTCAATCTTTAGGACTAAGATGGAATACCTCATTTCCATTAAAAATGGTGTCCGGTTCTCTACACTCACCATACGAAACACAGCAGCGTTAAGCTGCTATTTTACGCTGATATTCTGTGAGAGCGTGGTCCTTCCCCGGTTGAGCCGACCCATTCGTGCTACAACTATACCAATAATATAGCTGCAGCATGGCTCTACCACGTAAAATGTGTGTTGCCGGACTTCACATGTATTCGAAATATTTTTGTATTCGATATATTGTTAAAACTATCTGATATGCAGATTCCCCCACGATATATTCCTCTGCCAGTGAGCATGTTCATCAGCAATCAGTACTAAAAATTGCAATAAATAATTTCTCAGTGGCGCCAGCGGGGATTGAACTTGGGTTACTTTTCAAGCTTAAGGCTACCGTGCTTAGCCCTTGAGGCACACCTCACATGCAGTTCTGATTTTAAAATTTGGAATAAAATTGAAAATTACACGAGCTCAGGTACAGACCACTGGATTCTTTTGATATACCTCTCATACTTTACATAATTGCTACCTTAGGGTTGCTACATTATTATAACGATAATATATTCAGCCAAGAGGTAGTATAATCAGTGATATATTATCTCTCGGATAGTTGCATTGGAAATCAGTAATAAATAACTTTCGCAGCTCAACTACGATGCTACGCGTGCAGTTTTTCATCAGTGGACTCAGATCAGTCCTGTCTAACCATAACAAACTCAACAGCAACCGTTGATTGTCCTTTTACCTATTGCACAATTATGCGACAGGAATTCATTGTAAGTATAGAGTTACAGAAAAGTTCTTAACTTTTTGGAGATCAGCTGTAGGGATGAAAAAATTATACTAATTAACGAATATAGTGTTATTGCATTCCATCTTTCTGTATTGGCCCGTGAAAATCCAATGCTGGATAAGGCCTCTTCTGTTTTAGGTTTTGGGGAAGATTTACATTAATCGTAACGCTTGACAGACGGATTGACGAACGCAATACCAGACGTTGATACTGCTGCCCTTTTCTGGTCTAAGTATCTTATGTCTAGCTTAAACGAGATGCCATTGATACAAAATCTCCCATAGTCGTCACTTACAACAAACATCCACGGGACGAAATAGTCAGATGGATTCCATAATAGCGCCATCACACGGCTTCTTCTTATTTCTTATTCTTATTCAGGTTACTTAAACATCATTCATCATCTTTATCGTTACAGCCGATCACAAGTCCACTGCTGAATATAGGCCTACCCCAAGAAATGCCACAAAGCACGATCCTGAGCCACCTACATCCATTGACTTCCTGCATGTCTTACCAGGTCGTCACTCCATCTAGTGGGGGGACGCCCTACACTTCGTTCCCCGGTACGAGGCCACCACTCGCGAACCTTTTTTCCCCATCGGTTATCGGTTCTTCGAGGTATATGGCTGGCCCATTGCCACGTCAGCTTACTAATCCGTTGGGCTATGTCGGTCTATTTCTGGTTCTACTGCGGATATCCTCATTTCTAAGTTTATCACGCAGAGAAACCCCGAGAATAGCCCTCTCCATAGCTGAGCGACCTTGAGCTTCCTCATACGGCCAGCAGTGAAGGAAAACGTCTCAGTTTCATAGGTCATAACTGGCAAAATGCACTGGTTGTACAGTCTCGCTTTCAAGTTTTGAGATATAGCTGACGAAAAGATGTGTCGTAATTTCCCGAACGCTGCCTAGCCGAGTTGAATCCGTCGATGGACCTCTCGGTCGAAGTTGGACTTACCTAGTCGGACTATTTGTCTCAGGTAAACATACTTGTCAACGACTTCGAACTTGTGTGCTCCCAACATCTACCGGCATAGATGTGACATGGACGTGATACATGATCTTTGTTTTGTCCATGTTCATCTTAAGACCTATCCGTTGGGAAACACTATTGAGGTCATTGAGCATAGTGCTTAGGTAATCCAACGATTCTACCATAAAGACTATATCGTCGGCAAATCGAAGTTGAGTGATTTACACGCCATTGATGTTAATACCGTATCCTTTCCAGTCCAGTAGCTTGAAAACGTCTTCCGATGCAGCGGTGAAGAGTTTCGAGGATATAACGTCACCCTGTCTTACTTACACCTCTCTGCAGTTGGATAGGTTTCGTACTCTGGTTCTGTACTCATATAGCCATCGTAGCCCTACTGTACAAACACTTCAGCACTTCGATATAGCCACAGACAACTTGGCACCGCTGAAGGGACTGCAGCACCACCAAAATTTCGACGGAACCAAAGGCTTTCTCATATTCCACATACGCCAGACATAGTGGCAAATTGTACTCCTCGGACTTCTGTACAATTTGCCGAAGGGTATGTATGTGGTCTAGGGTGCTAAAGCCTTTTCGGAAAGCGGCTTGTTCGGGAGGCTGGAAGTCGTCGATTCTGCATGCGAGACGATTCGTAATGACTCTTGAAAACAGCACGTAGACGCGGCTCAGGAGGAAAATCGGTCTGCAATTCTTCAAGAGACCGTTGTCGCTTTTCTTGAAGAACAAGACCACCGCACTTCTGCTCCAAGCCTACAGTGTGGTGCCACCATGGAGGACGGAATTAAAGACCTTCTGAAGGACTTCAAGTACCAGTTTTCCACCCACTTTCAGAAGCTCCGCTGAAATTCCATCCTCACCCAGGGACTGCTTGGACACTTTAAGGTGCTAGAGAACCATTCTCATCTCGATCAGACTGACGTCCGAGATATCATCGGAATAGTGTCGGGTAAGACTTGCTCTTGGATCGTTATTCACACTTGCATGTGGCTCCAACGATGATGTGTACAGCTGCCCATAGAACCTCTCAATCTCACTCAAAATCTTAGGTGTCCCGGTAACGACGCTGCCACACTCGGTCTTCAGCTTTAACAGTTGGCTCTTTCTGGCAGACAGATCTCTGGCAAAGACTTTGGAGCCCTGGTTCCGCTCGATCGCTTCTTCAATAGGAGGTGATTGAAGTGGCGCAAGTCCCGCCGCATGCATTTGGATATCTGTCAGATCTGCTGAAGACTGCAGCTTCATTTCCCGTCTAACAGCCATGAGATTAAGAGTGTGATCGGTGAGTTTTTGTGTACTTCTTCGGTGGGTCTTGCAGAACTTAGCTCCGACCGCATGGACAGTTACCACGAGCTTACATTCATATCGTCCACTGCATTGCAATCTTTCAAGGCACTGAAAACGGTTTCGTAACTCGAGCTGAAAGGTTTCGAGACTTTGGATTAGAGCACGAAGGGGACCATTCCAAATTTCCCTACCTTCTGCTCAACATTCTCTCTTGTGCCTAGTTTTGCGTTGAAGTCTCCCATTAACACCGTATAGTGGGTTTTGGAGGTATGCATGGCTCTAGATATATCCTCATTCATTTCCTCCACCTCCTCATTGGGATGTAACGAGGTTGGTGCGTAAACCTGTGTGACTTTCAGCGAATGCCATTTGGTGATTCTGAGTATAAGGTACGCAACCCTCGTCGACACTCAACCTTTACAACGTTGTTAACGAGAGACTTGTGGACGATAAATCCGACATCTCCTTGGGACAGATGGTTGTCCTGCCGGTGATAGTACAAGTTGCCGGATTCGAGGATTACTTTGACCTCAGGTAATCCTATAATATTCCAGCGCAACTTGTCTATCTCTCCTTCCAGCTCCAGGATCTTCTCGTCAGTCCTCAGGGTGCGTGCGTTATATGTTGCCAGGTCGAGTCGTCTTATGTGGCAACCGAACCTCCACCAGAGATTCTTAGAACCCCCATGGTTACCATGGTTGCCACCGTCGCCAGGAATAGCGGGGCCACCGTGTACTGGGGGCCGGCTCTTCGTAACTTGATTCATGTACCCCCATGAATAAAGTTATTTTGCATTGCCATAGTTGCCACGCTTGGCGAGCGGGTTGGCAACCGCAGTTTTTTATTATTGTTTTGCTGTTATTAGAAAGATGCTACTGCCCATATTCTGCCTCAGTGTCCCTATGTCGTCTCTTACGACACCCACGGGAAGATATGGGGTAGTGGGTATTTTTACCCGCAACTACACGGAGTAACTTATACAGGAAAGTGCAATTATATTATGATCATAATTTTTGTCACAAATAAATAATGAAAGCATGCTAAAAATATTCTTTAGTCTTAACTCTAAATGATCATAACTGAATGTCCCATAATAAAAAAGCAGCTGTAAGTAATTATTTTAATCAAACCTTTTAATAAACAACCAAAACATAGTAGTAGAAACTAGTCTCTCTACTCGTATAAACAATTTAAGAAAAAAAATCAAAAAAAAAATGTTAAACAAGACTACCTTTACTTTTTGAAATAATATAATATAATAGCTTCTGAAGTCGATCTCGATGAATTCAAGCACCAATTTCAGAAGATGTATTTATGTAGAAATTATTTTATACTTTTTAGTTTTTGAAGTCGGTTTTAATTTTATTAAATATATTTTTAATACTTTGAGTGGACTGAGCCATATCACAAGTTCAAAATAACTACAATGTCGCATATTAGGACTCGTAGTTACATAAAAAACTTCATGTCTTTTTTTCACCCAGTACATATGGGACCACTCTGAAGTATATAAAGTAATAAGTAAGTATATATAACCTATTTTATAAAACAATTATCATTAAAAAATCAGCAGTTTCTGAGTAATCTGTGAACATACTTACTGTTAACATACAAAAAAATCATGCGCATTGAATATGTTCCGTTTTGTAACGATTTAAGATATTATCACTCTTAACCAACGACAAAGTTAGACAACTATAATTATTACGAAATCGAATATGAATCTGCCTACAATAAAAAAACAAACAGAATTAGTTTAATTATAGGTATTAAAATTAATTAATTAATTTTAGTAATTAGTTAGATTACTGCGTGATTCATACAAATAGTGTCTATTAATCTTGGTAGATTAACACTAGGCAAATACACATACAATGAAAGTGGCAGTAGATTATTAGGGATCATTAGGATAAATAAAAGTAGTTTTACAAAAATAAGTGATATTCATTCTGTAAATACTAGGAATAGACACAAGTTAGTAGTACCAGTTACTCGACTACACCGAGTCAGTAATTCATTCTTGGGGTGGTGTATACGCTTTTACAACACAAGTAGTCAAATTTAAAAAAATGTACAAATCAAAAACTAATGATCAGAAGTTTATCAAATGTATATTAATTTATATTTAATATAACCACCTAAGAAGCACCAGCTTTCATATAAAAAAAGAATCATCGAAATCGGTTCACCTAGAAAAAAGTTATGAGGTAACACACATAAAAAACATACAATCGAATTGAGTACCTCCTCCTTTTTGAAGTCGGTAGAAAAGAAAGAATTTAATCTATATGTATAATAGTTTTCCTTTTGCTTTCGGTAAATGGGAAACAATATAAAAATGTAGACCATCTAGAATATGAAAAATACCTAAAACGGCGATGGTCAGCAACTTCAAAGGAATGACAATTAAAGGTTACAAAAATAAGTTCTCATGGTTCATTATAGGACCCCTCCGGAGTAGTGGCAAGTTTTACACGCGGCTGCGAAGAGTCACCAGATTTTCTAAACCATGAAATAACAGATCCGACGTTTAGGACATACTATCGAGCATGCACAAATGATTTATGCAATATTGGTAAGTGCTAATCAATAATCGTTACTATTATGAATAAGATTTCTTCACTGTCTGACCACACTGGTTGGAAATGGGTCAAAATTTTATGCTCATGCATGATAATGCCCGCCCACGTACGGGTACATCTCAAATGGTAACTGTCTGACTGCAGCAATATAATGTGCTGTGCAACCCTGTACTGGCCCGCCCAGCTCCATATGCTTCAACGAACGATTTATAAAAAGAAAATCCCGAAACTCTGGTAAGTATTCATGCATCTACGTTGGACCTGGGACCTTATTCCACAAAGAGATATTGATTACCTCATTTTGAGTAGGTATAAATAATATTATTTTAGTACACGGTCAACTTTTTTATCTATACATATAATAAAACTGTAAATAGCAGATGTCTGTACATTTTATATTTTTGTAATAAAAGTGATTGAGGGGTACTAAAAATAAGTAATTAAATACATTTCTACCATTTTTAGAATTTTCTTTCTGTCTGTCTGTCTGTCTGTTTGTTTGTTAACGTATCACGTATAAAGTACTAATTTATATCATAAAAATTGTTAAGGAAATTATAAAGTGTATCTTCGGGTTACATTTAGTCTTTATTTCATTAAAATCAGTTCATTCCATCAAAAGTTATGATAAATATTCTGAAGTATGGGTAGGGAAGTATAGGTACGAATTTGCTCAACGGTGGCTTTGTTTGAGTCATCAAGTGCATTTTAAACTAATATCATATCATAAATCATAGTTAAATTATGTAAAATAATGATATAATTATGTATATCTAAAACGCAGTAAACAAAAGTATTAAAGAACGTATTAAATATTAACAAAATTATACAAAAATATATTAACCTTATTAACTAAATCTGAAGCACAATAATTAACCCATTTCTTCGATAGATTCTGAAGGACTTCAAGTACCAGTTTTCCACCCACTTTCAGAAGCTCCGCTGAAATTCCATCCTCACCCAGGGACTGCTTGGACACTTTAAGGTGCTAGAGAACCATTCTCATCTCGATCAGACTGACGTCCGAGATATCATCGGAATAGTGTCGGGTAAGACTTGCTCTTGGATCGTTATTCACACTTGCATGTGGCTCCAACGATGATGTGTACAGCTGCCCATAGAACCTCTCAATCTCACTCAAAATCTTAGGTGTCCCGGTAACGACGCTGCCACACTCGGTCTTCAGCTTTAACAGTTGGCTCTTTCTGGCAGACAGATCTCTGGCAAAGACTTTGGAGCCCTGGTTCCGCTCGATCGCTTCTTCAATAGGAGGTGATTGAAGTGGCGCAAGTCCCGCCGCATGCATTTGGATATCTGTCAGATCTGCTGAAGACTGCTGCTTCATTTCCCGTCTAACAGCCATGAGATTAAGAGTGTGATCGGTGAGTTTTTGTGTACTTCTTCGGTGGGTCTTGCAGAACTTAGCTCCGACCGCATGGACAGTTACCACGAGCTTACATTCATATCGTCCACTGCATTGCAATCTTTCAAGGCACTGAAAACGGTTTCGTAACTCGAGCTGAAAGGTTTCGAGACTTTGGATTAGAGCACGAAGGGGACCATTCCAAATTTCCCTACCTTCTGCTCAACATTCTCTCTTGTGCCTAGTTTTGCGTTGAAGTCTCCCATTAACACCGTATAGTGGGTTTTGGAGGTATGCATGGCTCTAGATATATCCTCATTCATTTCCTCCACCTCCTCATTGGGATGTAACGAGGTTGGTGCGTAAACCTGTGTGACTTTCAGCGAATGCCATTTGGTGATTCTGAGTATAAGGTACGCAACCCTCGTCGACACTCAACCTTTACAACGTTGTTAACGAGAGACTTGTGGACGATAAATCCGACATCTCCTTGGGACAGATGGTTGTCCTGCCGGTGATAGTACAAGTTGCCGGATTCGAGGATTACTTTGACCTCAGGTAATCCTATAATATTCCAGCGCAACTTGTCTATCTCTCCTTCCAGCTCCAGGATCTTCTCGTCAGTCCTCAGGGTGCGTGCGTTATATGTTGCCAGGTCGAGTCGTCTTATGTGGCAACCGAACCTCCACCAGAGATTCTTAGAACCCCCATGGTTACCATGGTTGCCACCGTCGCCAGGAATAGCGGGGCCACCGTGTACTGGGGGCCGGCTCTTCGTAACTTGATTCATGTACCCCCATGAATAAAGTTATTTTGCATTGCCATAGTTGCCACGCTTGGCGAGCGGGTTGGCAACCGCAGTTTTTTATTATTGTTTTGCTGTTATTAGAAAGATGCTACTGCCCATATTCTGCCTCAGTGTCCCTATGTCGTCTCTTACGACACCCACGGGAAGATATGGGGTAGTGGGTATTTTTACCCGCAACTACACGGAGTAACTTATACAGGAAAGTGCAATTATATTATGATCATAATTTTTGTCACAAATAAATAATGAAAGCATGCTAAAAATATTCTTTAGTCTTAACTCTAAATGATCATAACTGAATGTCCCATAATAAAAAAGCAGCTGTAAGTAATTATTTTAATCAAACCTTTTAATAAACAACCAAAACATAGTAGTAGAAACTAGTCTCTCTACTCGTATAAACAATTTAAGAAAAAAAATCAAAAAAAAAATGTTAAACAAGACTACCTTTACTTTTTGAAATAATATAATATAATAGCTTCTGAAGTCGATCTCGATGAATTCAAGCACCAATTTCAGAAGATGTATTTATGTAGAAATTATTTTATACTTTTTAGTTTTTGAAGTCGGTTTTAATTTTATTAAATATATTTTTAATACTTTGAGTGGACTGAGCCATATCACAAGTTCAAAATAACTACAATGTCGCATATTAGGACTCGTAGTTACATAAAAAACTTCATGTCTTTTTTTCACCCAGTACATATGGGACCACTCTGAAGTATATAAAGTAATAAGTAAGTATATATAACCTATTTTATAAAACAATTATCATTAAAAAATCAGCAGTTTCTGAGTAATCTGTGAACATACTTACTGTTAACATACAAAAAAATCATGCGCATTGAATATGTTCCGTTTTGTAACGATTTAAGATATTATCACTCTTAACCAACGACAAAGTTAGACAACTATAATTATTACGAAATCGAATATGAATCTGCCTACAATAAAAAAACAAACAGAATTAGTTTAATTATAGGTATTAAAATTAATTAATTAATTTTAGTAATTAGTTAGATTACTGCGTGATTCATACAAATAGTGTCTATTAATCTTGGTAGATTAACACTAGGCAAATACACATACAATGAAAGTGGCAGTAGATTATTAGGGATCATTAGGATAAATAAAAGTAGTTTTACAAAAATAAGTGATATTCATTCTGTAAATACTAGGAATAGACACAAGTTAGTAGTACCAGTTACTCGACTACACCGAGTCAGTAATTCATTCTTGGGGTGGTGTATACGCTTTTACAACACAAGTAGTCAAATTTAAAAAAATGTACAAATCAAAAACTAATGATCAGAAGTTTATCAAATGTATATTAATTTATATTTAATATAACCACCTAAGAAGCACCAGCTTTCATATAAAAAAAGAATCATCGAAATCGGTTCACCTAGAAAAAAGTTATGAGGTAACACACATAAAAAACATACAATCGAATTGAGTACCTCCTCCTTTTTGAAGTCGGTAGAAAAGAAAGAATTTAATCTATATGTATAATAGTTTTCCTTTTGCTTTCGGTAAATGGGAAACAATATAAAAATGTAGACCATCTAGAATATGAAAAATACCTAAAACGGCGATGGTCAGCAACTTCAAAGGAATGACAATTAAAGGTTACAAAAATAAGTTCTCATGGTTCATTATAGGACCCCTCCGGAGTAGTGGCAAGTTTTACACGCGGCTGCGAAGAGTCACCAGATTTTCTAAACCATGAAATAACAGATCCGACGTTTAGGACATACTATCGAGCATGCACAAATGATTTATGCAATATTGGTAAGTGCTAATCAATAATCGTTACTATTATGAATAAGATTTCTTCACTGTCTGACCACACTGGTTGGAAATGGGTCAAAATTTTATGCTCATGCATGATAATGCCCGCCCACGTACGGGTACATCTCAAATGGTAACTGTCTGACTGCAGCAATATAATGTGCTGTGCAACCCTGTACTGGCCCGCCCAGCTCCATATGCTTCAACGAACGATTTATAAAAAGAAAATCCCGAAACTCTGGTAAGTATTCATGCATCTACGTTGGACCTGGGACCTTATTCCACAAAGAGATATTGATTACCTCATTTTGAGTAGGTATAAATAATATTATTTTAGTACACGGTCAACTTTTTTATCTATACATATAATAAAACTGTAAATAGCAGATGTCTGTACATTTTATATTTTTGTAATAAAAGTGATTGAGGGGTACTAAAAATAAGTAATTAAATACATTTCTACCATTTTTAGAATTTTCTTTCTGTCTGTCTGTCTGTCTGTTTGTTTGTTAACGTATCACGTATAAAGTACTAATTTATATCATAAAAATTGTTAAGGAAATTATAAAGTGTATCTTCGGGTTACATTTAGTCTTTATTTCATTAAAATCAGTTCATTCCATCAAAAGTTATGATAAATATTCTGAAGTATGGGTAGGGAAGTATAGGTACGAATTTGCTCAACGGTGGCTTTGTTTGAGTCATCAAGTGCATTTTAAACTAATATCATATCATAAATCATAGTTAAATTATGTAAAATAATGATATAATTATGTATATCTAAAACGCAGTAAACAAAAGTATTAAAGAACGTATTAAATATTAACAAAATTATACAAAAATATATTAACCTTATTAACTAAATCTGAAGCACAATAGTTAACCCATTTCTTCGATAGATGGTAGTGTTGTGAAAATGTAATGCAATTGCAATGTGGTTTTTTCCTGTAGATGAGTTTTCATATTTACTGCTAATTTTTATTATATTACTCGCTGCCCTACTGCGTGTTGACAAACTCAATTTATTCTTTACCGCCGAGTACTCTATGTGGTAAATCAAATTTTAAAAGAGCTATTAACAATTGCGTTGGTTTTGGCGCGAGTCAAACTTTGGTTTTTGCTTACTGTGTAGGCACTGATTTATAAGTTCTCTTGCGTTTTATATAATGTATCAATCGCGTCAATTAATCTCTTTTATTTTTAGAATAGATGTTAGCAGCGCCATCTCTCTTTAAATATATACATATAATAAAAATGATGATAACATGTTGTGTCTCTTTCTGTACATTGTGTATATATTTTGGTGGCTAAAATCATTATGGGGCACTGAAAATAATTAAATAAGAACATTTTATAATTTTTAGAATTGTCTGTCTGTTATTATATGAACGCATCACGTCTAAAGTAAACATCTTTTATTTTCAAAGAAATCGTTAAGAAAATCATAAAGCGTATCTTCGAGTTACATTTAATTGTTTTATTAAAATTGGTTAATTCTATCGAAAGTAATGATTATTATTTTGAAATGTAGGTTCGAATTTGTTCAATGGCGCCATAAAATCTCAGAAATAGTAATAAAAAGATTTGTGTGTAAAAAAAACGTTCAATAATAATTAATATATTTATACTTAAAACACAAAAGAGATTTAAAAAGGATGTTTTCTCACACAAAGGACGTAATAGATGGAGTTGTACAATTTACAAACTTTTCTGAATTGCTATGTTGAGATTTTTCGCCGATGAATCGTATTGAGACTTACTGAAGAAATTTGTATCCATCGAAGCTATACAACGGAACCCGACCAAAAATAAAAATTTTGCAACGAATTGTCGTGATATTGTATTTATAATATACGCAAAATCAGTACTGCCATTTTAGCGCTTTGGGAACTAGAATTAGCGCGATCAACTTGATTTTTTTACCGACGACTATAAGCGGGGAAATCCCCTTTATTAAAGTTTTCGTTCATGGTTTTGGCAACGCATTTATTTTGCTTTATTCAGTTTCAGTCAGTTGCTTAGAGCACAGCTAAGTTAAAAGTTACTTAGAAGTTATAACACAAAGAAACTGTGTAGCAACCGCAATCAGATGCTGACATCTGAAACTAAGTTGCGAAATACATTGCACTTTAAAACAATTAATGACATTTTTATTGTTCGTACAGTACTAACTACTGTTGACAGCAATTGCCATAATTATAAGTCGATGTCCTGCGAAGTATTGATACATCAAAAAAATATTGCCAGAAAAAAAACTTAATGTTGTTTTCTTTATTACGATTATATAAAAAAACACAAACTTTGTTTGTAGTTAATTTAGCGCGAAATCTAGGGCTTTTTTAAAGCGCTGTTTTCATGAAATCTAGCGCTTTTTGTGTTGTCCTAGAGCTGAATGAGTTTTTTTTATCTGGCAGCACTGCCCAAAAACCCTCTATTAAGAAGTAACTTTCCTTTCAGTTTTAAGCGCGTTCAGTTTCCAGTTACAGTGAGCGTGTGTTATGCGATGACCGTAAATAAAGCGCAAGGTCAAACTTTACGCGTTGTAGGAGTGTATCTCAGTACTGACTGTTTTGCACATGGCCAACTCTATGTTGCTTTTTCCCGCGTTAGTAGCCCCCGTAACCTTTTTGTGTACACCCCGGCTAAGCCTACTTCTAACGTCGTTTACACAGAAGCTCTATCATAAACGACTTAGAACTTTGATGATAATGATTTATTTAGTTACCACTTATTGATACAGTAATGAAATAAATCGTTTAATATTCTCTTACCTAAACGACAAATTCTTTATGTAAAACCTGTATACGCGAGCTACGCCGCGGGCACAGCTAGTTTTTAATAAAAGGCATCGGTAATGAACTAAAAAGATTTTTATTTAATTTATTGTTAAAATATAAATTACTGTGCATTTTATGTATGTTTCAAGAAATTATTTGTAATTTCTTTTCAATACATGAATAAACCACATCGATGATAATTATGAGTCAAATATATTATGTTAAATTTTGTGAAACGTCCGCCTAGGTCTATCCCTTCCAACACTTTCATCCACAGTAGCCTTATACACATTTTTCGTCAATCGTTCTTCATTCATTCTCTCGACAAGGCCAAACCATCTCAGCATACCTTTCTCAATTTTTGTCACTACATCTTCTTTCAAACCACAACGTTTCCTTATCTCACTCTTTCTTATCCTGTCACCCAGAATAACTCCTATCATAATTCTTAACGCTCTCATCTCAACTGCATTTATTCTGCTTTCATGTTTCTTTTGCCATACCCAGCTTTCACTTCCGTACATGAGTGTCGGAACCAACACCCCCTCATGCACAGCCAAACGAGCCTTGTTAGGCACCTTCCGACTGCTCATAAAGGAATGCAAAGCTCCATTCACCATGTTTCCTGCATCCACTCTTCTTTCGATATCACTATCACACTTTCCATCTATCGTAAACTTTGAACCCAGATACACAAACTCCTTCACCTGTTCAATTTGTTCATCTCCAATCGCGATATTGCAGTCTGTCACTGCCTCATCTCTTTCAAACACCATCAATTTCGTCTTCTTTACATTCATCTTCATTCCCTTTCTAACAAAAGCTCCACTCACAGCAGTTACCATCTCCTGCAACTCCTCGGCCGAAGACGCAAGCAGTACTTGGTCATCAGCATAGAATATAAATAAGCATAAAAAGGCCAGGTCAAGAGTACCCTAAACCGAAGAGCATGTATGAAGGGAATAATGAAAGTGGACGAAGCGAAACAAGTATGTAAGGATCGTAGCAAGTGGAAAGAAGTGGTCTCTGCCTACCCCTATGGGAAAGAGGCGTGATTATATGTATGTATGTATGTAAATTTTGTGTAGTTGCATTTAAGGTTACTAAAATATATTATTGAGGGTTTGACCAGGGTTGACTTGTAGAGAATGTGATAAGGCATTAAGTCCGCCCATTGTAACCCGTACATTAAAGTGTTTTACAATAAAGGTTAAATAAATTAATTATTTCTGTTCTACGACATTTCAGGTAATGGAATACAGTCGGTTGTCGGGGGAAACTTATCGCCAACTCCAGAATATAACGGTAAAAATTTACTCGTTCCAGGTACCGGCAATGGAAGTAATTTACAGAATAATTTACTTATGTTAATTGTAACATTGCCTTTATTTTTTCTTAATATATAAAAACAGTACCTAAGGAAATATTTTTTTATAACACATATTAAGTAACGTAGGTAGTACCCATACATATATATGTTAAAAGTTGTACGTACCATTTGCTTGGGATCGCATAATTAATAAAATTAAATCCAGACCCAAGGATACTACTGCAAGATTTCAAAGTACTGTAAGCTCATTCTGCGTAAAAATTAACAAGCACCTGAAACGTCGAGAATTAAAAATAAAAGTAAAATTAACGCGATTAAATCTGCAATAATAGTTTTATTGAAAAACTATTGGTAAATCCAATAGAGCGTGCCCTAATCGCATTAAAAAAAATACTTTTAATTTACCGATAATTTTATGTTAAGCTTCAATTTAAAAAACAGTTTGGAAAATCCAAAAGTGCACTACTCATAATGTTGGATCGTCATATCATCATGCAGGTCACTCCACAAAGTGCAAGGCGTATTTAAGTGTAAATATTACATCCTACTTACTTTTAGTACGTAACACTATTATTTATTCTGTGCTTTTAAAATATTGTTATAAAAATCTCTAATTATTATAACAATCAAATATATATGAAATTTGGTTTTTCGAATATTTTGTATTTATTTGAACAGCGTTTTTTTTTTTTGAGCCGCTGTAAACAACCGATACAATATGCACTCACGACGGCGGTTAACACCGAATTAACTGAGTGAGGCAGTCTCTATTTACTAAAATAATTTCATACAAGGCTGCTAAAACACCGAAAATTTCGACATTAGCAGCCGAAAAAATTAATTATAACTAAACAAAACAAAATTAAACTGCCTTTTACATTCAATGGATTCCCACATGTTAGATGAAGAGTTTTAAAAATAGATTGAGTTGAACAATTGATAAATCCACACCATAAGCCACTAAAACACCTTTTTTATATAAAAATAGCAATGAATCGATTTAAAAAAAAATTTATAAGTTGAGCAATCATTTATCTTTCTGACAATGTGCTTTTTATATCATTTATATGTATAATATGATTGCTAAATACGATTTCATGCGACAAAACTTTGGAATCTTAATTTTTAGGTCCTAGCAGAGCATACCTGCGCGCTTTGCGCTTACGGCATGCAATAAATTGGTTTGAGATTGACTGATTGCAAGCGTCTATATTCTTGACTGATGACTGTAACCAGAATCCTAAGTAACCCTAGCTCGTGATCGTTTTGTGAATCGTAATTGTCCCTGTTTTTGGCACTGCATGTAACTTGCCTATTCGTTCTCATCTCATCGAATAAGCGTTAAACCAGGCACGGAAAGACTAGAACCGGTGAGTGCCACTGTATTACCGTGAGCTTTCAGCGTAGTTACTCTTACGTTATAAATCTGATCCAGTTGCCTGACAAAAAGAAGGCTTTTTATTTATTTAAAAGACGGTGCTTAACTACTCGTACAAAGCAACCATAAGCATCCACCTGACCTGAAGGTAAGTATAGTGAAGTGGTCCTAGAGTAGAGATCAATTGTGCTGTCTTAGTAATATAAGCCTATTCACATATACAGAATAAGATGTTCTCTTGATATTTTATGATATTTTGTCCCATCCTAAGCTTTTTCATTCCAAATTAAATATTTCAATATCGACTGTGATCTGTTCTGAATCGCTAGTGAAATAAATGAGATGATATACTAGAAAAACGTATAATTAAATTGCAACCTTACAATAATGTGACAATATGCATAATAAGTTAATAAGTTCACCTTAGTCACAACTAGCGACATCTGATGAGCGTAAGACTTTTTAGCCCTCACTAAAGTTTGAACGGGGCTATCGTGGTTACGCGTTACGCAGTAGGTACTAACAACAATTCAATATTTTTCGCCAAAGGTTTTGAAAACTATACTATAGTTTTCCGTTTTTATTGAACTGGTTGTAATTATTATACTATTTAGAACTGGCGGACAACCTGGGTAGATACATGAATTTCGTTTGATTTAACACTGGTGCAAGTATGAATGATTTATACTTGCGCAAACTACTTCGCACCGTCTTCAACAGGCATAAGTTAAAGTTGAATTTCCCGTAATCGTAATGTTGTCATAGCAACACCTGTAATGCTTTATATGAAACTTATAATAATATAATATATAAATATTATGTATTTAACAAATGTGCCTAACAGTGAGTTATCAGATTATTGTAGTGCTTGTTGAAAAAGTTCTTACAAATAATTATATTGCAAGTAGTGTTGTGATACATCATTTTGAACGTATCCATAGTGCTTTGACATAATTCAGATGTGCAAAATGTCACTTTGAGCTTTGAGAAATAATTGTAGGTTATGTTAAATATTATCAGTAAAAATGTAATTTTAACTGAAATTTATAGTATTATAGGTTTTAAACCAAAATGACAACTTCTCCTACAAGGACAAAACAAAAACTATCTTTACGTAAACGCCTATTTGTTAAAAAGTCACCAAAAGTTGGCTGCTATGTTGATACCGATTCCAATGACGAATTTAGTCAAACTCCTTCCCGACCTATGTCCCCCGCAGATCCTTTCCTAGCACAGAGTGCACAAAACAGTGACTCTAACATAGAAAATACCACAAACAGAAAAAATTCTGATTCTGAACTTACTGTAAGCAACATTCAACATTGCAATGATCGCTACAGTAATGAAGATGACAACAACCCTAAATGTTGCAAAAAGTTTTTTAGAAAATCTCGTCCGAAAAGCTTACTAGAAAGACCTGGTCTTAAGGCGAGATCAAATTCCAAACCAACAAGTCCAGTAAACAATTCAAACAACAGTTTGAGTGATCACTCCATATCTGGTTCTCAAACCAAATCTGAGGAAATTCCGAAAGCTACTGTCATTTTCCCTAAAAGTGATGATGACAAAAAATATTTTGAACAAACAACTTCACTTGAAGGCATTAAAGCTAAAAGTAAATTATTTGTTAAACGTTTATCAGCTGATCATTTGATATCTAATGAAACTCGGGCTCCGTATCGTTCTTCTTCACCTGAGAGTGACAGAAGCAGTTCTCTGGACCGTAAAAGAAGGTAAGCTGGAAGAATTAAATTTTATATTATATTATATTTAATGTAATTCAGGTCATTCAGTAATTTTGAACATATTTAATTTATTTAGGACTAAATCAACCATCACTCGGTCAGCTTCACATGCTGGCAGCACAGACAGCTTGGCTCGCAACTCACTACTTGCTGCACAAGTGCTGCGACTCATACCTACGCAGGAGGCTAGGGAAAGGTTATTAATCCCTCATTATTTCTTTTCTTTCTAATTTATTTTTACCCTTACTAATAATGTCAATGCAGTATTGTATTTGAAATAAAATTCATAATATTACATTATAATTTGGATAATTCAAAATAGCACATCTCATGAGTGTTTTTTTTTTAAATAAAATAAATGAAATTTTGATGAAAAAAAAATATCTTTTAAACATCTATGATTCTGATACCAACCAGCAATAGGGATCATTCTGAGGATAAATGGATACTTATTCAGAAAGATTTATTTCTTTTTGAGGCATATATTTTTCTGATATGTTTGTACACAGAGTAACTGACAGCCGTACGAATAATTTTTAACAACATTTTTGTAAATATAACTAAACAAATGAATAAAAAATATATATATGGTTATAATTTAATATATCTAGTTTTCAAAACATCCTTTTTTCATTGATTTAGTGTCAAAATTGAGACATGCTAAAAACGTTATATTGTAAAATCTTCACATAGCGGCATGTCAAGAGAGTAGAGCACTCCCACACGCTTGCGCGTTGTGTGGCATGCAAAAAAAGATTGCCTAGTAACTGCTGTTTGTTGCTGTATAAACAAATTGCTATAAAATATATTTTTCCGTAAAATTCGCAAAACAAAATTATTGTTAAATTTTATAGAAACTACCTATGTGGAAGATTGGCATCCCATTCTTTGCTGGGAGCAGCTGAATTAGAACATGTTTTTCCAGACAGAGAAGTGAAGATATTTATAGGGACATGGAACATGAATGGACAGCCACCACCAAGGTATTTTTAGTGATATTTTTATTGTTTTAATATTCTCCTTTTTATTTTTCGTTGTTGCTTAATTGACCGAAGGTAAAACAAAAACATTTTAAATAAGTAATTCATATTTATTTATTCCATATAAGGCAATACAAGCTGTCAATTTTTAGCTGTGTTATATTATAGTACTAGTGATGGAAGGAAAAATAAAAGATTATTATTTTTCAATAATTAAAATGACAAAAAGTAAAATTTTTTTATAATTTTTAGAGAGTTGGCAGACTTTATTTTCCCTAGTCAAGTGAAACATGTGCCAGATATCTTTGCAATAGGCACACAAGAGTCTTATTCAGAACGTACAGAGTGGGAAATTACTATCCAAGAGGTATTGGGACCATCACATTTGTTACTACATTCTTATTATCTGGGTAAGTAGGTTTTCCATTGTCACGGTAGCTGTGATTACCCATTTTTATTACCCATCTTTTATTTATTTATTTATATATAAATATTTGACGATTGTTTAAAGCCAACTGTCCAAAAAGCCCATTTATTTTTAACCGACTTCAAAAAGGAGGAGGTTCTCAATTCGAGTGTATGGTCTTTTTTTTTGTATGTATGTTATGTGATATCTGCGCAGATTTTGAACCGATTTTAATGATTCTTTTTTTTTATTAAATAGCCCTTATCTTAAGGGTGGTCCCATTAAATTTTGAAGAAAAGCTTCCGCTTCCAAGGGTGGAAAATAGGGTAAAAGTTTTATATTGGACTATTGTTTAAGGAATTTTATATGATATCTTCGCAGACTGAGAATTGATTTTAATGATTCTTTTTTTATTAAATAAGTTATACCTTAAGGGTGGTCCCATATAAATTTGGAGAATAATACCCCCCCCCCCCCCTCCCCCCTAAAGGCAATTTGAAGTTGGTTTTTACTTTTTGTTAAAAGTTATAATTATTATTATTGTTATTAATTTGTTGGAAATTTATAATACCATTGATTTCTATCATGAAAATTTTATTAAAAGTCATCTAAAGGCACATTAAGCAACAGCTGCATTGATATAATGAATGAGAATTTAAGCATACATTTCTTTTGTTTTTAGGAACAATTCACTTAACAGTATTTATAAGAAGAGATTTAATTTGGTATTGTTCACTGCCAGAAGATGCAAGTCTCTCAGTTCGTCCCGGGACTGCATTTAGAACTAAAGGCGCTGTGGCAATTTCCTTTGCGTTATTTGGATCAACCTTCTTGTTCGTTACGGCGCACCTTACGGCCCACCAAGAAAAAGTTAAGGAAAGAGTATCTGATATCAAAAGGATAATTAGATCAATTGATTTACCAAAAAATTTACCATGTAGACATAGAAGTAAAGGTGGGAAACACAGTTTTATTGTATATAGTTATTGCTACTTTCAATAATACAAATGACATATTGGTTGATCTTTTTCAGACGTAACTAATAATTTCGACTATGTTTTCTGGTGCGGGGACCTAAACTTTCGATTAGGAGAGCCCCGAGCGGCTGTCTTACGCTGGATTGAACAAACTGAAGTAGGGTATTTCGTCTAGTTAAATCGTAAAACAGATAGTTTATACATCTCTTATGTTTTATACTGATATTTGTTTACCACCTAGCTTTACAGCTTCATCTGTATTAAAGCAAATGGTTTTTTTTTAATTAGAGTGATAAACATCTTCACTGTCCATCCGATGGTATGTACCTAATGTTACTTTCCAGAACTTTGAATATAGACAGCAATAGCATCACTGAGGTTTTTTTTACTTTGATGGAATTTTTTGCAGCTTGTAATTGTATAGTGTAAGTTGGCAGGCAATGTCACACAGATCTAAATGGGATACTTATCCACTTGTATAAAATTTTTGTAGCATAATTTCACTAATCATTATAATGATCAAGCAAAACAGTCTAAAGCATAAAAATATTTACGTATAGGTAATGATATTGAAATATAATTTTACTAGGCTTATCAAATATTCATAAAAATTAACTCCTAAAATGTTAGACACTAATACACATTTTTATACAATATTGCTGTAATGAAATTTGTAGGCACTTTACTTTGTAGATAAAACAAATTATTTTTAAATTTTTCTAAGTACACGGTAGACAGTATCATAAAACTATTGTGTCACTAAGTGTATTATTGCAAAGTTGTAATTTAATCCATTAAACAAAGTGAATTGTAGTTACAAATGGTAAAAGTATGGTGCAGATTCAGTTTTAGTACAGATTCTACGATCTTATCTATAAAGTCAGGTTGCCCTCATTCCTATTAATTTTTATGCCTTAACATATCCGACTTCTCTGCCTTGTGATCCTCATCATCTCATAGACACCCTGCTGCTTACTATAACTTTTGGCTGGTGTACTATCAATGCGTGTCTGAATGCGTGCGTGCGTGCGTTCATGCGTGCGTGCGTGCGTGCGTGGGCATGCGTGCGTGCGTGCGTGCGTGGGCATGCGTGCGTGCGTGCGTGCGTGGGCATGCGTGCGTGCGTGCGTGCGTGCGTTCATGCGTGCGTGCGTGCGTGCGTGGGCATGCGTGCGTGCGTGCGTGCGTGGGCATGCGTGCGTGCGTGCGTTCATGCGTGCGTGCGTGCGCGCGTGGGCATGCGTGCGTGCGTGCGTGCGTGGGCATGCGTGCGTGCGTGCGTGCGTGGGCATGCGTGCGTGCGTGCGTTCATGCGTGCGTGCGTGCGTGCGTGCGTGAGTGCATGCGTGCGTGCATGTGTGCGTGCGTGCGTGTGTGCATGCGTGCGTGCGTGCGTGCCTGAATGCGTGCGTGCGTGTGTGCATGCGTGCGTGCGTGCGTGCGTGAGTGCATGCGTGCGTGCATGTGTGCGTGCGTGCGTGTGTGCATGCGTGCGTGCGTGCGTGCCTGAATGCGTGCGTGCGTGTGTGCATGCGTGCGTGCGTGCGTGCGTGCGTGCGTGCGTGAGTGAGTGCATGCGTGCGTGCGTGCGCGCGCGCGCGCGCGCGTGTGTGTGTGTGTGTGTGTGTGTGTGTGTGTGTAATAGTCTAAAAATTTTGTGAACATATCACTGCGCAGTGGCGGCGTAAGAGAATGCACTGCCCAATTTCATCCTGTGGGTGTAGTGAGAGATGATAGAGCTAAACTGTTATAGAATTTGGGTAGAAGCATCTTCCTGAAGCAAGCAATAAAAAACTGCGTTTGCCAAGTGTGGTACACAATGTTAAGAATTCGGCCATGTGGGAATCTTATGTTTAGTAGTGGGCTTTAATGTAATTAATGAATAAGTAATTCTACTTATTAACGTAAACTTCTACGTTTCGCCTGATAAGTGCAGGTAACCTTGCCCCCTCCCCCTTCCCCTCAATAATATATTAGCGAAGTTAAATAAGAGAATTCTTCAGTGAGCATCCACGCTCAAGCTTCCTTGCTCTAATAAAATCATGCTCAACACACCTTGCTCGGAGCAAATGAAGCAACAAGATCACGGCGCCCCCTGCCATTTGCCATTTGGCTGAGCATAAACATCCATTATAATCCCGTCTTCTATGATTGCCTCTATAGGTCCCATAGTGGAGTGGCTGGAGTGCTCAGTACGCAAAACACTTCTCTCCCTAGACATCCACTAGTCGAGTAGGCCTGACTGAGGCTTTCAGTTGTGTTACAAGGTGTGTTCGAGAGTTGACACCGGTTCTTACGCATATTTTTCGTTACATCACTTTTTAGACGTTGTCCCGTAGACTTGGAAGACAGCTTTTGTGCATCCGATCACTAAGTAGGTAATCGATCTGATTCGTCAAACTACGAGCTCATCGATCATTAACTTCCAGCTCATGAAGCATCTCACCAACTGATTAGTGATCGCTAGTACGGTTTCCGTCGGGCCCACATAAAACCTTCGATGGTGTTTGACATTAAGCGCTTCTTTCGAAGCTTCCTTCTTATGGGATTCCTAATAATTATGCAATTCCCGGAAAGGTCGTAATTTACAGTGCATGCTCGGACACCAAGCTTGTAAATGCTGATGTTTCACAAGGCTGCGTGCTATCTTATAGTTTACCTCATTGTAAAATCGTTTGCCATTTCAATGTGATAAAAAAATAATGGAAGAAAGGAAAAAAGCTTTTGCATAAAAGTTGTTTGGATCCAAACTCGGATCCAGCGACAAACGAACGTAACCCGTTTTTTCTGATCAATTTTTTTTTTAATTATGAGCCTTTTGAATCCACTGATGACTAATGACGCATTTCTTGTAAGATTTCCCTGAAACGATGTATAACATACCCATCATCAGATTTGTGTTCGGCGTGTGCCGAATGGTTGTATGGATTTGTTAGGACAGCCGAACATTTCTCTCACCTGATAGTCTTCCCACAACGCCAGAATACTTAGTTTTTTCATTTATCATCATCATCACTTAATCACATCTATACATGCAATTTTAAAAGGTGAATCTATAACATTGCATTAAAACTCATGGATTAATTACGCGTACATCATATGTATTTCTTTTTTCAGTTTCCGCTTCCTCCATATCTTCCTCACGGGCTACTACACGCCGATCAGTTGACAGCCGTTTTAGAAGATGGGGCAGCTTTTCGAGATTTTCGTGAGGCCCCTATTACCTTTCCTCCCACTTACAAGGTAAGATTGTATCCATTCACCTTCACGTTTATAATTTTTAAACTTTATTAAAGGCACCGTAAATGTTACATTATACGTAGGTACGACGCAGTATAAAATCTGTTTAGTACTTTTTAATCATTTTAACATCAAGCTACTTTTTGTTAAAATTAGTTTAACTAGTTTAAACTGTTTAAGCTTAACACTGCTGTGTTTCGTATGGTGAGTGAGAACCAGAGACCCTTTTTACTGGACAAGAGGCATTCTATCTTAGTCCTCACGGGTGACAACGCATCTGCATTTTGATTCGCAAACGAGGATAAATGTAGATGTCTATGGGCCACAGCAACTACTTATCATCAGGTGCACTCTGTGTTCTTTTGTCACCCTATCCTATATAAAAAAAATATTAGCGAATTAGATTTTGTTCTAGTAAATATCAAACGGACATATAGGGACATAATAGACTGTTCGCAATATGCCTGGCTTAAGTTAAGAACAGTGGTCGGATTCCCTTTCTGCCTACGTAACGGTCTGGGTGGGTTTCACCATCCTACGTATTTCTGCCGCCAAATAGCAGTGCTTGCACTGTGCTGCTGTCCCGTTCTGAAGGTTATAGAGAACCAGTATCATTACAGGCTGTGAGACATTACATATTAGTTCTCAGTGGTAGCGCGTCTGTGTCATTTGAAGGGCACAGGGAAAAAAGGAGCTCATTGACAATTTTACGTTTTTGGAATGAACTATACCATTTTACTTCGTTTTCTATGGCCAATCAGAGCACGTTATTTTAAACACGATAAAAGGCGCTGATTTTGTGTAAAGTGAATTAAAAAAAATGTACTTTAGGATAAAACGCGCTCATTGCATTCTATACCGCATAAAAAGGTGCCCATTGTCTATGAAACCACTCTAGAACGGGCTGATCGCAGCGATTGTAACAGAAAACGCGCTCATAGTCGGCCATCTGTATTATTTTTCATACAAATGACAGCTGCCAGATAAAAAATTATCATTTTAACATAAAAACATGTAATAATTATCGAATCAATCGATAAATATGACAATTATGATACTGGCAAGTTAAAGTATAGTTATTAGTTATATTATCTATTAATAATGAGAATACTTTTCGTGTATCTTAAAACTTATTGATTGTCCTAAGTATTATTGTCCATTTTGAGATAAATAAGCAAAAACTTTTAAAAACCTATCGTACACTAAAGGAGTCGTAAAATTTATGCCAAAGAGTATATACAGGAAAATTGACGATATTTTATTGCAGACAAAATTGAATTACTAGCGTCTCCTTATATAGCTATATTATATACATCATATTAATTTAACTATTACGTTCTTTAATTCGTATACTTATTGAAACAATTTCTACTTTTTTTGTAATACTAATTTATACTTTTAATATTAAAAGTAGGTAAATAGTTTCAATAAGTACACTTGTATTTGAGAGATAATAATATATAAAAAGGGTGTTTGCTATGTTACAAGAATGACAATTTAATATGACAATTATTTTATTTTTCATTTTTATTTTTTATTATAATATGCTGGTTGCCAGTATCATAATTGTCATATTTATCGATTGATTCGATAATTATTACATGTTTTTATGTTAAAATGATATTTTTTTATCTGGCAGCTGTCATTTGTATGACAAAATAATACAGATGGCCAACTATGAGCGCGTTTTCTGTTACAACCGCTGCGATCAGCCCGTTCTAGCGTGGTTTCATAGACAATGGGCACCTTTTTATGCGGTATAGAATGCAATGAGCGCGTTTTATCCTAAAGTACATTTTTTTTTAATTCACTTTACAAAAAATCAGCGCCTTTTATCGTGTTTAAAATAATGTGCTTTGATTGGCCATAGAAAACGAAGTAAAATGGTATAGTTCATTCCAAAAACGTAAAATTGTCAATGAGCTCCTTTTTTCCTTGTGCCCTTCAAATGTCACAGATGCGTTACCACTGAGAACCAATATGTAATGTCTCACAGCCTGTAATGATACTGGTTCTCTATAACCTTCAGAACGGGACAGCAGCACAGTGCAAGCACTGCTATTTGGCGGCAGAAATACGTAGGATGGTGAAACCCACCCAGACCGTCACGTAGGCAGAAAGGGAATCCTACCACTGTTCTTAACTGAACCTGTACATATATTGTCAGAAGGCTAAATAATGGCTAAGTACAGAAAAAATGATGATATGGCTAGAAGTTGCTGAAGCGGCTATCGCGATGAAAAGGAATGTTTCGAATCTAGTTTCAAAATTAAATAACAAGGTGCAGTTTTTGGCTTGGTAGCTTATAAGTACAGAGCGAGGCCTATCAGAACTCTCTCCCGGGGCGGAAGGCATGTGTGGGCGGTCAAAGTCGTAAATTTTCAATAAGAAAAAATGATTAGGTGCAGTTCTGAAATTTGGTAGAGTTATAAAATAATTATAAAAATTGTGTTGCCGAGTAATCGCTGACTTAGACGATGGACTTTAAAAAATAATTCGTACTCAAAAAATTATAAAAGAAAGTAAATAAATAATACAAAAAATTAAATAAAATGGAGAAGTTTTGCCGAGAGTTTACAGGTACTCTATGATAAGAAGTTACTGAAGCATAACATCTTTTTTTTTTTTAGATAATTTTATGTACATTTGGCCATATTTTTATTTAATATTTAAATTATTGTTATTATATGAAAGTCAAAAGTAGATGGAGTAAAATGTAAGTATATTTATTTTTTTTTTTTTTTTTATAGGATAGGGTGACAAACGAGCACACAGTCCACCTGATGGTAAGTGGTTACTGTGACCCATAGACATCTACATCTATCCTCAATAAAGACTCAAGATGCAGATGCGTTGTCACCCGTGAGGACTAAGATGGAATGCCTCTTTGCCAGTAAAAAGGGGTCTCCGGTTCTCTACACTCACCATACGAAACACAGCAGCGTTAAGCTGCTATTTTACGCTGGTTTTCTGTGAGAGCGTGGTCCTTCCCCGGTCGAGCCGACCCATTCGTGCTACAACCATAATATAGCTGCAGCATGGCTCTACCACGTAGAAAAAATAAAGGAAGTAAAATTATTTAATTATATAAATCTCAAATTGAAAACGAAGAATCTGGAGCATTTTTAACTTTTTGTAAATTTACGACTGACCGCCCACCCACGCCTTCCGCCCCGGGAGAGAGTTCTGACGGGCCTCGCTCTGAACTTATAAGCTACCAAGGAGAGGTTATATATATAATTCGTTACTACACCTTATCAGTTCACGTTTTCGTAGCCAGCTCTCCGACCATAATATCACTGACCATTGGGTTGAACTGAAGTCCTCCAGAGACCGAATGTATGCAATCTCACTAAACTGTTTAATAAAACAGTTTTCTGTTAAATTGTGTAATTGTGTTGGGGATGAGTCGCTCGCGTCCGTAGGCTTCGACCACCTAATCCTAGGCCCACCCTACACGTGTCCCCCGGGTGGTGCTAAACGAGCGACAAAGCCGAAAGACGAAAAAACTGACTCGGCTCCTCGCCGTGTGGTAGCGGCGTAAAAAAAAATACCACAACTTACTTTCGCACCATGAGGCAAAATATTAAAGAAATGGCCCCGAGTTCCCGGCGCCCCTTTAATGGGGCAGGGGTGCGAAGAATCTCCGGGAGGAAAACCGGCGACGAGGTTCGCCACCCGTCACGTTCTGTCCCCCGGAGGGGCGAAAAGTGGATTGCGGAAGCCCGTCTGGCTACATTGAACGTATGTGGAGGAATGAATGATAAGATGGATGAAGTATGCGATATGATGTATGATAGAGGAATAGACGTGTTATGTGTGAATGAGACGAAACGGAAGGGAAAGGATGCCACTACACATGGCATGTATACCGCGTACTGGTCTGGTGTAGACGAGACCGAGCGGGCATGCCAGGGAGTCGGTATCATCCTTTCAGAAAGAATGGGTCATTGTGTAAAAGAGTATGAATGTGTAAGCCCGAGACTGCTATGGATACGAATGAAAGTGGGCTTAAAGAAGTTGTTTGTTTTAGGGGTCTACGCCCCAGACATGTCTAAGCCCACTTATATCCGAGAGCAGTTTTGGGAGTTGGTAAGGATGGTGCTAATGAAATGCAAGGTTAATGAAAATATTGTGATATTAGGCGATTTTAATGGAAGGGTTGGGGTGAGGAGGCTTGGTTATGAAAGGATATTGGGAACGTTTGGTGATGAAAGTATAAATGAGAATGGTGAAAGCCTTCTCGCCGTATGCGTGGAAAAGAATCTTGTTGTGACGAACACTTTCTTTCGTCATAAGAAGATTCACACGTATACATGGGAAAGAGGTGATGATAGAAGTATGATAGATTTCATAATTGTTGATGAAAGAATGAGGAGCGCGGTGGTAGATACAAGGGTTTACCGGGGCTCTAACGTAGGGACGGATCATTACTTGGTCTTATGCCGAATTAATGGTCTTTTCAGACGTTGGAGGCATCGGACATCTGTGTCTACCACAGCGTTACAGCGTATAAAAACAGAGAGGCTACAAGATGAAGGTGTGAAAGAGAAGTTCAAATGCAGATTGAGAGAAAATATAAGTGGTATGGCTGAATTGTGTATGAATGATTTAGACTTGGAGACTGTGTGGTATAATGTCAAGAAAGGTTTAGTGGATGCAGCTACCGAAGTATGTGGTGTAAGCAAGAGAACGAATGAAAGGAAAAATAACACGTTATGGTGGGATGATGAGGTACGGATGGAAGTTGAAGCAAAGAAGAAAGCATGGCTAGATTTACTAGCAACCAAGGCTAGTAATTCTAGCAGTATGAATGATGATATTGAAAGGAAAAAGGCGGTTTTTAGACACCTAAATAAGAGAGTAAAAGAAGTAGTTGAAAGGAAAAAGCAAGAAAGAACGGATAAGAATGATAGAAGAATATCGGATAACTTCCAGGAAAACATTAAAATGTTCTGGAAACTCGTAAGAACTACCAGGGGACACTCACAACAGCCTAGAATGAATGCTATACGAGACCAGAATGGCTGTATTCTGAATGACGAAGTTTTGAGTTTAAGGAGATGGAAGGAATACTTTGAAAGCGTGTTTATGAGTGATGAGACGTTTGAATTAAATGAAATAGAAATTCCGAAAGAAGAGGAAATAGATAGAAGAAATAGAGATATAAGTATAGATGAAATAATGAAAGCAATGAAAAGTATGAAAGTAGGTAAGGCAGCTGGTTATGATAGAGTATCTCTCGAAATGCTAAGGGCTGGAGAAGGAGTGGTGGCAGACCTGCTGTACACCTTGTTTAATTTATGTTGGGAACTTAAGCGGGTACCGAGAGACTGGTGCAAAGCCGTGATAGTCCCAATATATAAGGGAAAAGGATCACAGCAGGACTGTAAAAACTACCGTGGTATCAGCCTTCTTAGCATTGTGGGAAAACTGTATGCTAAGGTACTAATTGAAAGAGTTATGAAAGAAACTGACGGAAAAATTTGGGATGTGCAAGCGGGATTTAGAAAGGGAATGGGATGTACGGATCAGGTCTTTTCCATGCGCATGATCGCCGAGAAGTTTTTGGCCAAAAACCAAAAAGTTTTTTGTGCGTTCATGGACTTGGAGAAGGCTTATGACAGAGTGGACAGGGATGTGTTATGGCAAACACTGAACTCATTTGGGTTGAGCGCTGGTCTGATACAGGCATTGAAGTCTCTATATAGGGACTCTAGTGCTTGTGTCAGGATCAACGGGGCCTACTCGGACTGGTTTGACATCCATAAAGGTGTCAGACAGGGCTGTGTGGCTTCCCCGTGGTTGTTCAACCTATTTATGGACAGTTGTTTGGAAAATTTGAAAGTAGAAGAATGCGGGTTAAGAATGGGTGAGTTAACCGTCAAATGCCTTTTGTACGCCGATGATCAAGTCATACTTGCGTCGTCGGCAGCCGAGTTGCAAATGATGGTTACATTAATGAACAGGACATTAAAAGAAAAGGGAATGAAAGTGAACGCAAGTAAGACGAAAGTTATGGTTTTTGAAAGAGAAGAAAGTAAAACGATATGTGAAATAAGAATAGAAGGGGAGTTGGTAGAGCAAGTAGATGAGTTTGTATATTTGGGATGTGTGTTTAGCAGGGATGGTAGATATGATAAGGATATAGAACGACGAGTGAATGCAGGAAATAGAGTGAATGGGGCTCTACACTCTATTGTGAAAAGTCAGAATGTGTCCAAAAAGGCACGTATGGCAATTCACAATGCTGTGTTAGTACCTACTTTAATGTATGGTAGTGAAAGTTGGGTGTGGCAGAAGAAGCATGAGAGTAGAATAAATGCTGTAGAAATGCGGTCATTAAGGAGTATGTTAGGGATGAAGCTGAATGACAGAGTGAGAAATTGTTTAATAAGAGAAGAGTGTGGTTTGCAAGATGATGTTGTGACCAGGATTAAGAAAGGAATGCTTCGGTGGTTTGGCCATGTAGAAAGAATGAATGAGGAAAGAGTGACAAAGCAAATTTATGTTGCAGAGGTGAACGGCATAGTCGGGAAGGGTCGCCCTAGGCGAAAGTTTATCGACCAAATTGGCGATATATTAAAAATGGGCCAAATCAAGAGTACCTTTAACCGACGAGCGTGTATGCGTAGGTATATGGATGTGGAGGAAGCGAGAGAGGTGTGTCAGGATCGTGCCAAATGGAAGTCCATAATCTCTGCCTACCCCTCTGGGTGACAGGCGTGAGTGTTTATGTTTATGTTAAATTACATAATAGGGGGGATATGCCGTAATCACTGCGCTTCGCAGGCGAAATAGCAATCACAATATCTCACGTCAAGCACCCTTGACGCTGCTCCTCCTTGCCATTCTATGTAAATACTTCACATATCAAATAGTAACATTACGGTCTATCAGTGGTCATGAAATTTTCCTGGCATAGTGTCTAGAGTCGCCATCCGGGACGACATGAGGTGACGAATTCATCTAATGATTACCGTTACCGTTACAGCCTATTAAAAGTCTACAGCTGAACATAGTCCCTGATCGATTGTCTCATAGGAGGGATATTTGCCATAGTTGCCACGCTTGGCAGGCGGGTTAGCAATGGCAGTTGTTAGGAGGAGGTAAATAGAGGAGGTTCTCAATTCGACTGTATTTTTTTAAGTATGTTACCTCAGAACTTTTTTCTAGGTGAACCAAATTTTGTGATTCTTCTTTTATTTGAAAGTTGGTGCTTCCCATGTAGTCCCATATAAATTTGATCAAGATCTGACCAGTAGTTTTTGAGTTATCCTTAATAATGCATATGTAATTGACTTCGACTACATTGATGATGTTCTCGTTTTATTTATATTGAAGTCGGTTGTTCAAAATGTTTTATTTTACCACGTTTTGCTGATGCTCTTATCAAAAAGATGCTGCTTCCCATCTCCTGCTTTATGTATTGTGTTGTGTGTTGCCTCTTGCAACACCCATGGGATGTTAACCGTTACTATACGGTATGATGATGTAGGGTCAATTAAAGATACACTATTACATAATCCGTTTAATATCTTTAGTACGACCCCGGCAGTCAACAATTCGACACGTCGAGTAAACAGCGTGCGCCAGCGTATACCGATAGAATTCTGTACAAGGCCAGATCGATGACAACTAGCTCTTCTTCAGCATTCTCCGGTAAGAAAGGCGCATACTGTAGATAATTTTATAATAACTAATAATCTAAGAAATTACATAGAAGATTAGTGACTGAGCATGGGCATAGTTGTGTCTTATGAATATTCCCAAATATATATATATATCATAGGCTCACCTGATGGTAAGTGACTACCGCCGCCCATGAACAACTGCAACACCAGGAGAATTACAGGTGCGTTTCCGGCCTTTTAGAAACGAAATCGCCGGTGGTAACCTGTTCCTTAGAGAGGTCGTATGTGGAAGAAAACTCCTAGTGAAACGTACAGTGGGGGGTCACCCTACACTTCGCATACCGGTACAATGCTTCCACTCAATAACCTTTTTTCCCCATCGGTTGTTGATTCTTCGAGCTATATGGCCGGCCCGTTGCCACTTCACGCTAGACTATTGGGCAAGCTTTCAGTGTACGGCTTATCCCCTGGCCTAATTGTTTGGGTGAAGGACTTTCTGAGGGAACGGTCTCTCCGGGTCGTCGTTGATGGCTGCTCATCCAATACTGTGGCGACTAACGCCGGTGTTCCTCAGGGGTCCGTTCTCTCCGCAACTCTCTTCCTGCTGCATATAAATGATCTGCTCATTCCTGGTGTCTATGGGTATGCAGACGACAGCACAGTTGTGGAGAGATAAAAACCAAGCACCCGGGCCAGTCGGGATCAAATCCAATCAGAAAGAGAGGCTATGGTTGAGCGTGTGAGTCTCACACTACAGGCAGTCTCCGAATGGGGTGAGGCTACTTTCCGGAATGTATCCTTGGAGTACACTGACCGCCTTCAGTTGTTAGGGATTGAATTTTCTCCGAACCTAAAACTACCCGAACTATGGGCGGTTCATTGAGTCCAAAGCCAAAGCAGCCGCAAGGAAACTTGGTGTCCTTGCAAGGATGCGACTCAGTGGAGAGACGTGCTAAGAGGCTCACTGGTGACCTTGATTTTGTTGAAACCAATCTTGTCAGCCTCGAGCACAGGCGCAGAGTAGCCAGTCTCTCGGCATTCTATAGAATGCATTTCGGTTAGTGTGCGCAGGAATTACACGCCTTAATTCCTCCCTCTCCTTTTCACCATCTTTCAACCAGACGGTCGGCGGGTCTTCATCCCTTTGTTGTCGATATTCCACGAATTAGAACCAAAAGGGTTTGCTTCGTCTTTTGTAATGCATACAGCAAAGGAGTGGAATAATTTGCCGGCATCTATCTTTCCGTCCGATTACAATCTGGGCGTCTTCAAGGCAAGAGTGAATAGGCTTTTGTTAGGATAAGACAGTGCGATTTACCATCTAAGGCTGCATCACCACTTACCACCAGGTGGGATTGTGGTCAAGCACTGGCTTATAATAAGTAAAAAAAACTTCAGCTTACTAATCCGTTGGGCTATGTCGGTAACTCTGGTTCTACTGTGTATATACTCATTTCTAAGTTTATCACGCAGAGAAACCCCGAGCATAGCCCTTTCCATAGCTCGCTGAGCGACCTCGAGCTTCCTCATACGGCCAGCAGTGAAGAACCACGTCTCAGTTCCATAAGTCATCATTGGCAAGACGCACTGGTTGTACAGTTTAGTTTTCAAGTTTTGAGGTATACCTGATGAGAAGATGTGTCATAATTTCCCGAACGCTGTCCAGTCAAGTTGAATCCGTCGATTGACCTCTCTGTCGAAGTTGGACTTACCTATATAGTCGGACTATTTGTCCCAGGTAAACATACTCGTCAACAACTTCGAGCTTAGTGCTCCCAACAGCTACCGGCATAGATGTGACATGGACGTTATACATGATCTTTGTTTTGTCCATGTTCATCTTAAGACCTATCCGATGGGAGACACTGTTGAGGTCATTGAGTATAGTGCTTAGGTAATAAACATAGTACTTCTGCCATAAGGACTATATCGTCGGCAAATCGAAGGTGAGCGATGTACTCGCCGTTGATGTTAATACCGTATCCTTTCCAGTCCAGAAGCTTGAAAACGTCTTCCGATGCAGCGGTGAAGAGTTTCGGGGACATAACGTCACCCTGTCTTACTTACACCTCTCTGCAGTTGGATAGGTTTCGTACTCTGGTTCTGTACTCAGATAGACGTCGTAGCCCAACTGTACAAACACTTGTCAACTTGGCACTGCTGAAGGGACTGCAGCATCGCCCATATTTCGACGGAATCAAAGGCTTTCTCATAGTCCACTTACTAAAGACATAGTGGCAAATTGTACTTCTCGGTCTTCTGTACAATTTGCCGAAGGGTATGTATGTATGTGGTCTATGGTGCTAAAGCCTTTTCGAAAACCGGCTTGTTCGGGAGGCTGGAAGTCGTAGTCTGCGTGCGAGACGATTCGTAAAGACTCTCGAAAACAGCACGTAGGCGGGGCTCACAAGGGAAATCGGTTTGTTTGTTGTTTTTCAAAAGAGCATTGTCGCCTTTCTTGAAGAGCAAGAACACCGCACTTATGCTCCGGAGTAATGCCACCATAGAGGACGGAATTAAAGAGCTTTTGAAGGACTTCAAGTAAATATTTTAGTGATTCTGAGTATAAGGTACGCAACTGTCGTCGACACACTTAAAAAGCAAAATTAATTAAACTAAAGTAAATTTGCTTATTAAGTATGTATTTAAAAAGCAAATTTACTTTAGTTTAAAAATTTAGAAACACAATATAAATATTTTTTTAATGGCGTTTCAACTATTGTACACATTGTTCAGGGTTGCGTCGCACGAATAACGAGCCAGTGAATTTCGGTGTGAAGTGTTTGGCTTACAACTCGGTGCAGTCCGTTTGCACGAGTGACCACAAGCCCGTTTGGGCACTATTCTCCGCCGCATTGCGTCCCGGCACAGACATGTAAGTAGCCGCCGTGTCAGTAACTGTACAACGTTAACTATTTAATAAACGCAGTAAATTGACGCCGATATCTCATGATACCAGTAGGTAGGTTTACGAAAATCAATAAGCTAGGCAGGTGAATTAATCAAGATAAGACATGCAGGAAGTCGACGGATGCAGGTGGCTCAGGACCGTGCTTTGTGGCATTCCTTGGGGGAGGCCTATGTTCAGCAGTGGACTTATGAAATGCTGTAATGATGATGATGATGATGAGTATGTCGCAGTAAGATAGTTAAAGACGTGGTATAGTTATATCCCTAGGGATATAGCTATATACCGTAAATAGATAGTTATATGAAAGCGATTCACAACTATCTTACTAGACTAATCTAGTGAAATAATTATAATTGTAGTTTGTTTGTAATTTGTCAGTCAAACCACTACTTTTTGATTTCGTATTTCGAATTTTCTAATTTATAATATTCCTCTACTCTATCATTATGTTTTACGGACAAAATTCTGCTCAGATGTTCCTATAATTTCAAATCCGCACTGAAAATTCGTACTCTCTGTGATAGCACGCATTAAAAAATTGCCATATTCAATTTCTTGGTAGCAACACTTGCAGTTTTTTTTTAATTGCTAAGACATAGTGAATAGACTTCAGAATGTGGAATTATTTATTTCTTTTTAATTATTAGGCTACTTAGGTTTAGTACTTTGTATTCAAAGTTCAATTTTTCATCCTTTTGAGTGGACTAAAGAATATATCCCAATCTCAATATTGTCTAAATAGTTACATTAAAAACTTCATCCCCACTTGGCATACTTAGGGAATCTTTTTCATAATAATAATCAGTTCACAATGAGGGCATCAACGACTTTTTCTTCCACCAGATCGGCGCTACTTTCGAATGAGGTGAAATATTTGACAGATGTTCTAGCGGGGAAATTAATTTGACAGGAAAATGAAGGGTTTCTTTCTGTAATGTTACTAACAAACCAAACTACGGATATTCCTAAAAGTAGAAAAAATAAAAAAAGAATTAAAGAGTAAAACACTAAGGCATTATTTTGTGTATTAACATAATACTCTAGAAACTAATGAACATTTATTTAAAACTAGTTTCTCAATGAAATACCATTGTGTAATAAAAACCTTCTCAGTCGCAACTAGCGACATCTGGTGAGCGGAAGATTATGAGCCCTCATTCACTTAGATATTGCGCAGCATAAATATTACAAATAAGTCGGACTAGCGCATGAAGGGTTCCGTACCATCATAATTCACGTTTCTAGTAGGGGTGCCCCCTTTAATTAATTTATTTTTATTGTTACGGCACCAAAAATACACATTCTGTAAAAATTTCAACTATCTACCTATTACGGATCATGAGATACAGACCGCTGACACACAGGCGGACGGACGGACGGAGAGCGGAGGCTTAGTAATAGGGTCCCGTTCGTTACCCTTTGGGTACGGAAGCCTAAAAACAAATACAGTCAAATTGAGCAAAGGAAAAAATAGTAAAGAAAAATGATGGTAAAATCCAACCCTCTGTTGTCGATAAAATTCAATGAAACGCTGTATAGTACTGTTAATTAATACTAATTAAATGTACAAAGTAAAGTTAAAACCTTTTTATGGAATTTGAAATAAGACTGGTGTTCGCCCTACTTTGTTACTGAACTATCATCAATGTTCGTTTCTACTAAATTTGCAGAGTCCCATTAGCAGCTGGTCTGTTCAATCGGGAAGTGTATCTTGAAGGTATAAAACGGCGACGTGCTTTACTCGACCACGCGCCAGGGACGTCAGCCATATGCAGTTTACAATAGTGAGCAGATTTTTTTTTTGTAGTTAGTCTATCTACAATCTATATATAAAAAGGAAATTACCCAAATACAAATCAAATGTAATAAATAGATTCTTAAAATAATTCAATTCAGAATATCTTTTATAACATACATGTCCTTATGAATTTATTACAAAATTATCACGATAGTACTTACTCATTTTTTTATAATAATGTATTGTATGTGCAAATGTAAAAATTCGTACATTGTGTGTAAATAAAAATTAATCTGTTCAAATTATATGCAGTGATATTGGAATATGATACCGAAGTTAATTTATGTTAAAAGTATCACTGCATTTTTATAACAAAATTTACAATGAAAGTAAAAAAACATCCCATTATTTTTATTTATTATTTGAAATAAAAAGATCGTGGTAATTTTGTACAGTTTTGTTTTATTTCTTAGTGTTGTAAAAATGAATCAGTATTAATTTAAAAATGAGAAACTCATTGTATAGAAATAGCATAACAATTTATATGTGTGTTATTATTTTCTGATAGATGGTACGAAATGTACAAAACATTATTTTGTTATATTATGTTTAAAGCTTAATAGCGTGTTATTTTTTTTAATTTTGTTACAAATTGCTTAATTCCGTTTGTTATGTTAGTTTTCTTAGTATATTTAACTTAAGTTATTGTTGCAATATGAAAGACAACTCTAGTCAGTATATCTAAATGTCAAAGATAATATAACAATTGCATAAGTATTAGATTTGAAACGATTTTCTTTTACCAAAGTGTCGTTAATGAATTTATTTAATAAATGAGTCATTAATAATATTTTAGACTAATGAGAGACATTGAAGAATATTTATATACATTGATGTGATATGATCGAATAATTTAGTTTTTTTTTTGCAAATTAAATAAAATCCAAATAAAATGAACATAAAAATTATGCCATATCTGTAACGTACATATTATTATTTTCGTCCCCATTTTAACCGACTTTAAAAAGTAGGTGAATTAATTCCATTGTATTTTTAATGTATGATAACTTTCATATTAGTCCCCTATAAATTTAAATTAGATCCTTGATGAATGATGGAAAACTTATTGTTTTCAATATTTTATTTGATTTATTGTTGACATATTTGATTACCGCTAGCAATACCAAAATTCATTCTGGATACTATTTAGTTCCATAAATATTTTATTAATATTACTGTATATTAGAAGGTATGAATTGGTAAACAAAAGAGAAAACACTATAACATAATGTATAACAAATAATAAAACAGTTTTAAACTGGATTGACCTCTTCAATATTTTGGTTCAATTCTTAAGACTACAAATGTTGAAAATGGAATATTATAATTTTATATTCTATTAATAATCTCAAGTAGTAGGTTGTCTTAGGTTATAAGCTAACTTTCGGTTTTTTAACGTAGCAAGCTATAATTTGCATCATTTAATATTTGACTGGTAAAAACTGTGTGATTAGTATAAGGCTTATTGAAAATAAGAATATTCTGTTGTCGATTGAAGATAGAGCGTTACTTCAATTGTTCTAAAATTAAACACAGTGTACCTAAATCAAATACTAATAAAGTTTTGTTTGTTGTTGAAGTTTCGGACTCTTGCTTTCGACAGCAGTATATTTCGTCTCACTACCGTACTCACGGTCCCTAGATAAAGCATTATTTCTTTATTAACATAACATATTTCTTTTCTTTCGTGTGTTCAAACATAAGAAGTTAATGTTTTATTCAATGACTCTGATTACGGCAGTTGGACTTTATTATAATGTACAGTGGGTACTTAAATATTTCCTGCCTTATTAATGTATTAACTCGACCGTCACGTAGAATGTTTTAAACATTCTCTACTAATTTAGGCGCTGTGATTCATGTCTTATGTTGTGTTTCTAGTCTGAAGTTCATTCCAATTATATCAATATATATGTATATATTTTTTTATTAAATACTAAAGTACTATGAAATAATTGTCACAAACTACATAGGTTCATTATGAAATAACGTGTTTTTTTAATAGGGACCGGGTTTATTTGAACTGAAATAAAAACACTGTTGCTTTTATTATATTTTCTTTTTTTTGAAGACTTACTCGTCGGCTAATATGAGCTTGGAATACCACATATTGAAATGACTAAAGCTTTAATTTATATCAATAAGATAGGTGCCAATTTTTTTACATATTCCAAAAATTGTGGAAATTAGGTACCTATTTATCTTATTGATTACGCATGGTTTGTTAATCTTTAGGTCTTTTACAGTTTTTGTTTTGCATACATCAGTGAATTTATATAACCTTACAAAAATTATCAAGGGATTATAAATCACATCATAATCTTGGAGGCCATGTCTTGTCCCTAAATCTCGAGATCAGGCACTTGTTGAATTTCTCTAAATAAATCGAGGGTTTCTCTTGTGGTATGTCAGGTGGCGCGGTCTTGTTAAAACCAAATCTCTGTCAGATCCACTACGTTCAATTTCGCCAAAAAGATTCCAAACCGTATGAAGTAGCGATCACCATTCACAGTTATGGCAGCACATGCCTCAATCTCAAAAAAAAAAATAAGGACCAATCAGCACTTGTGCCCCCAGCCCAAAACGCACACCAGAAAATCACTCTTATAGAATGCAACGTCCTCTTATGAATATCGGCAGGATCTCCCTTTGCCCAAATCCGAAAATTTTGCTTATTTACGAAGCCATCGAGTCTACTTCTTGCTAAATTCACTATAAAGACATTCATTACAATTCACTCCAAAAAATCGGGGTTGGCATAAAGTTGCTGTAAAGCCCAATTAGCGAAGTTTTGGCGCTGGAAATGGGTCTTTAGTTCTTGCGTCAGCTAAATATTTTAAGGGTTTGGATTTGGAACCAAGTATTTGTAATGTTCGCCACGTTGAATTCTTATACTGACCGACGAGGCCGACTTGATAGGAACGTCGTGGAATTGACAAGCTCGGCGTTTCTCTCACGTTGTCAGACACCAATTTAATAATTCTTGATATTTCTCACATTTGAACGACGAGTAGAATGTGGATGATACATAACTGAGCCAGTGCTTTAATTTTTTTTTCACTATGCGAATTAAACACCCATTTTGGTAATAGAGTTAGAGAACTACTTCGACATGCTTTTCTACTGTATAAATGATCTTAATAAATGTTGACCATTTACTGATTTATTTATAAAAATTCGCGCCAAGACAATCTCACATGGCTGACATCAGTTATCAAAGAGACCTTGTCCCTATTAAATAAAACTTTAATGAATTTTGATGGAATATTGTTTAACGTAGCCTATTTTTTGGTCGCGAAAGTCACTTCTTTTAATAATACTGCTATATCTAACTATATATCTCTAAACCATCTTAAGAATAGATTAAAAGCCTCTTCATTAGTCTCACAAGGGCTTTCGGAACTCACAGGGAAGTTCGGCATTTTCGGGTGGATGGATACAGCCACTTATCTGTCGATGCTGTTATAGTTAAACTAAATGAGCACAAATTAGTGACTTTCAGGACCTCTTCTTTTTGGTTTTGTCCTTTTAGTGTAATATAAGTAGTTATTGATTGATGTTTATATAATACATCGTTGTTGTAACATTTTAAAGGTATAAGTGGCAGCACATGTTTTTTTTTTTGTTTTGAAATAAAGTTTTATGTTAGAGACGGATGCAATAGGATAGGAGACACAGAAAAACTTTTTATAAGCTAAAATTATTTTTAAAAAAAAACTTAAAAATATAAGAGAATAGCAAAGTTTCTTATAAGGTCATAAACATTCAATTTGTATATTTTAAATAGTAAAAATCTAATTGAATACAAAACAGATAATCGACCAAGCTGAGAGACTAATTTGCAATATAAATTTAATGATGTAGTCATTGACTATGGTGTACCCAACTATACTTATATGTATTAAACATTACTCACTTAGTGAACTAAGTACATTGTCTCATTGGTCCATGAACCATGATTTTATAAAAATATTATCCGCGTGCCAAATGTGGAAATAATGGCAAATCGTCCCAACCGTGGGATTAGATAATATCTAGCAGGGCACTATCGGTATGATGATGGATAATAAATAACGTAGGAACGGTACTTCTAAACGAGATGGGGGGGGGGAGCTTACAAAATATTTTGATGTTAATTTAAAACTACTGTACTAAGAATGTAGAAATTATGCAGTCAAAGAAATATGCTCCGTAATTGAGAATTATGAGAGGAATTGAATCATTTACCATTGTAGGTATATCATCGTACATATACAGTTATGATCATAGAATTAAGACCGTTTTATACAAAGACATTTTAAATTTTAAATATTGATAACAAAAAGGTATTACTTCCTGAAAAATATTGGCTATACTGCCAGTATTTTTACATTTACAAGTTACAATGTTAACATAATCAAAAAAGAAATTAGAAAATAAATTGTATTATTACTGTACAATTTACTGTCGTTTAAATATTGTTCGCTTAACTGTAGACGGGAAGCTAGACAAATAATAAAAAACTAGAGAAAGACTTAATAATTAGGCGACAGTAGCTTAATGGCAGGGTGCGTAATAAAATGCGCAAAAAAATATGAATGAACAACATCGCATCATCATCATCATTCATCACTACAACCCTTCACAAGTCCACTGCTGAACGTAGGCCTCCCCCAAGGAATGCCACAAACCACGGTCCTGAGCCACCTGCATTCATCGACTTCCTGCATGTCTCACCAGGTCGTCACTCCGTCTAGTGAGGGGACGCCCTACACTTCGCCTGCCGGTACAAGGCTGCCACTTTAGAACCTTTTTTCCCCATCGGTTGTCGGTTCCTCGAGCTATATGGCCGGCCCATTGCCTGAAGTGGCTTACTAATCCGTTGGGCTATGTCGGTCACTCCGGTTCTACTGCCGATATCAAAGAAACTCCGAGCGTAGCCCCCTCCTTAGCTCGCTGAGCGACCTTGAGCTTCCTCATCCGGCCAGCAGTGAAGGACCACGTCTCA